GCACCCGAAATTCGTTGAGCAATTGCGATTGCTTCATTCACAGTAGATGGATTGCTTACCATCACCTCCTTTCGAATTCGATCTTTCAAGCCTCGTTTGAACACGTCCAAGACTTCAGCTCCACTCATATCCATGATAGATACTTGAAGATCACGAAATTCTTCAATGTACTCATGAATACCTCCTTTCTGCTTCAGATCCCACAACTTCATTCTTGCAGTTTGAAGAGAATCCACCGCTTGAAAATTTTGCAGAAGTCCTTCCTGCATTCCACTCCACGAAATGGTAACACCTCTTTCTGAAAACATTCTCTCCCATGTTGTGTACCATGTGAGAGCCTTATCCGTAAGATAAGATCTCATGAACATTCATGCAATATAATCAGAAACATGAAAATGGGATAAATGAATATTCATCCTCATAATCCATCCCTCTAACACTCCCATTGCTCTACTCCCTTTGTAAGCTTCCACCTTACAGGGTTTTCCCATTCGAAGCAAGAGATTTGCTTGATCTTCAATCTCTTGAAGACGTCTCCTATTTGCCTCTGCTGCATCAATAGGAGTTGGTTTCTGGCTGAACTTGGGAAGCTTGAACTTGAGGTTCAACTTCCATCTCTCCAACTCTCTCTCTCTCTACTTTCTCACTCTCTAATGCGAAGATTTTATCTTCCATGGCTTGCTGCTTGGTATGCCCATCTACTATCGCTTTTCTCAACTCCTTCATCTCCGCCATGATTGCATTAAGAACCGCACCCATATCAATTGATGTTCCCATGCTTTCTCACACTCCCTCTAATACAAAGTGAGTATAATCACTATGTGACCTCTCAACAAAGGAGTCACAAAAGGTGCAGGTGACTCTATCACAGCTCTATAGTACTCCTCTCTATAATTACTCACAAGAAAAACTCTTCATATCCTCTTCTGTCTATATACTATTCTAATCTCTACATAAGTGCTGAATCGAACCGGGACAGGTGGTTCGCGATTCAAATCCATGAAACAATCAGTATATAATGTATATAGTACAATCCCAAGTCTCTCCATAAGTAACTATTGGAAGAATCAGTGACACTCTTGACTCCATCACTCTAGTCATAAAATCTGCACCCCAACAAGCCACAAGGTACATCCGAAAATGATGTTTCTCCATGCAACGAAGGTGAATATCGAAAAGGTTAGGAATTGGCCAGTGCGGTACTAGATTCCTGTCAATCCCTTCCATATCTGCAAAAACACAATTTCCCCCTTCCACCTCTCTCTACATGCAGATGAATGACCTCTGCCAGCCTCTATACACTCTCAAGACTACACTCCATCATCACTCACTTGCTATTCCATGAGGGGTAATCCACACTCAAGGAAAGAGCAAGGTCGCTCTGATACCATTGTAACACTAGGGTTTAGAGAGAAGTTCACTCGAAGATAGAAACGTAAACTCTGAAGATGAGAGATCCCAACAATGGTTCTCCTCTCCCTTATATAGCTCTCACCAACAAGTACAAGGTGATAAGATCTAATCCCCACCATCCATCCCACTCCTAGTGGATGGATGACATGGCAGATAACCCTAACAAGCACACGGATCGCTGACGTGGCGCACTCAACTAACACATTAACTAACACATTCAATCCTTACCTACAAGCACACGGATTGCTGACGTGGCACTGTCAACTAACACGTCCACTCTAAACCTACCAAGTGCGCGGATCGCTGACGTGGCAACTATGACTAGTGCACACTAAAGTATCTACATCAATATTCAGAGTAACCTCTACTTTAGTTCTAACTAACTAAAGATGGTTACAGAATTGTCTAAACGACAAATTCATGAGCAGAGTGACATCAACGTTTCAACATAAAGATTGTGTACGTGGAGGGCAAGAAGCAATTTGCGGATGCTCTCACACACATGTCTTGTTTGAATCATGTTGCAGAATTGAAGATTCAAGCAGATTGATGGAGCAAGATAACACATGCCACAAAGGAGTATGAAGAGATCATGAAGACATTACAAGCTAGAAGGGCAGAGAATGCTAGAGGTTTGATCTTCTACAAAAAAAGTATATGAATTTTGCAAGATCAATAGTTACACACAATGCTTTTTTCAGAAAATCATGATACAATTATTGCAGGTCATGAAGAGTGGAAAGACTTGAAAAGCATTCAATGAGTTTACTTTTGATCCAAACTATGGAACAACGTGCAGGCTTACGCTCAAAGTTGTGTTGTTTGTCAACAAAACAAGGCAAGTAATAAAAAACAAGCTGGTTTATTACAGCCTCTCCCTAGTTCCAAACAGCGATGGGAACATGTCACCATGTATCTTGTATGTGAGTTACCAAAAACTTTGTTAGTAAATGATTTAATGGTGGTTTTTGTGGAAAAATTGAGTAAGATGATTCACATTAGATCGATTACAACAACAACGACAGCTCCTCAACTTGCTCAATTGTACTTAGATGTTGTTTTTGTGAATTAAGTGATTAAGTTTTTGTGATTAAACAAATTTTTAATCATTCATAGAGGAACTCATTTCACTAGTTTGTTTTGAAAAAATTTGTTTAGTTTTTTTAAAATCCAATTAGCAATGTCAACAGTTTATCATCCTTAGACTCTTTCTCAAACATAGAGAGTCATTAGAATTGTAAAATATATGATACGTACATTCACATTAGTGTAGCAAGAAGAATAGAATACTCTTTTGACTCTTGTGAAATTTGTATATAATAATTTTTTAAATGCATACACAATGGTGTCTTGATTTTAACTCATGTACGATGCTCATTCCATTACTTCATCAAGTTTGATGAAGTTTTTGAAAGGTGAGGAGTTTTCAACTAAGGTAGGAGCAGTCAACGAGTTTGTGAAACATATTCATCAAGGTCTACACCAAGCAAAAGAAAAGATGTTGATTTGTCAAAATCGACAAAAACAGCATGTTGATACTCATTGTCGTGAGTTAGTTTTTCAGGTTAGAGATCAGGTTTGGCTATTTACAACAAAAAAATTTGTGTTTTATAGGAACACCAAAGTTTAAGCCTAGATTCATTGATACTTTTGTGAAACGTGTTGGTGAAGTGTCATACAAATTTGAGCTTCCGTCACATATGAAAATACATAATGTATTTCATGTGTCACTATTGTGAAGACATGTACCATGACCAAAACAATTCACAAATCAATTGGTGTTACCTCCTTTACCAATCTTGATAGCTGATCAAGAGAAATATGAGGTAGAAAAGATCCTCAAGAAAGTAATCCGAGGTCACAAGTATCCTAAGGTGGAGTATTTGATTCAATGAAAATGAGATACATAATACGAATCAACTTGGTATCCAACTCAAAATCTAGCTAATGCACCGTTGATAGTCCAAGAATTTAAAAGAAGGTGGAATGAGTACGTTGCGTTTTAAAAAGAAGCAGGTTTGTAATCATGTTTAGTTAGTTAGAGCTAAAGAAAAGTTTATTCTGAATGTTGATATATATACTTTAGCGTGCACTAATCATAGTTGCCACATCAACGATGTGCACGTTTTTTGTAGAAAGAGAGTAAGTGTGTTAGTTGACAGCTCCACGTGAGCGATTAGTGTGCTTTTTAGATAAAGATTGAGTGTATGAGTTAGTAGTTAGAGTTATCCATCACATCATCCATCCATTTAGAATGGGATGGATGGTAGGGATAAGATATTATCTCCTTGTACTTGTTGGTGATAGCTATAGAAGGGAGAATGGAACCATTGTTGGTATCTCTCATCTTCAAAGTTTATGTTTACATCTTCCAGTGAATTTGTCTATAAACCCTAGTGTTACACTTGAATATCTCGCGAGTCACTTTTAGCGTGGACGCATAAATCTCAATGCAAATATGTAATTGATGCCTCATGTTTGTTATAAATTGCACTTGTATTAATTTAGAAATATTTTTAAATTCATCTCAATCTAATTCCAACATCATCCGCTTGATAACTTCTCTACTTCCAGATTTCTTAAACAGTTAGACTTGCAATCTAAAATGCTAATATTGCTTGCTCATGAGTGCGGCAGGTCCAAGCGTTTATGTTTAGACATGTGTGCACAACGACCAAGTTAAGAACGACAAACAAAGAAAACAACGCGCCAAATGAAAGCAAACACCGCGTCAAACAAATACATAGAATAAATCTCTGACATTGATGGTACCCTAAACTTCGCACAAGAAAAATGTTGCACAGCCTCTTGTGAGTGATACTTCCCAAAAATGACGTGAAACCTTAACATCAATATGTGTCACTATTGGAAGGGTTAACTATGTAGATGATAATAATCATTTTCCAATGATATTATGTTCCAAAGAAAAAAAATATGTGTAAAAATTTTGTAAACAAATGTGTAGAAACAAATGTGATGAATAAAAAAATCACATCGTGTTATTGATGTGTTGTTTCCATACAAGAAGTGTGAAGGGGATTTTGTGTGTTGGGGGAAGAAGAGAGAGAAGGTAGAGTTCGCTTCTTCAATCCGTATCACTCCCCTTATTGAGTCGTGGTTCGCATTGCCATCTTGATTCGTGGTTGTTTTGTGTATTATTAGAGGGAGGGGTCCATGTGACTCCTATAAGAGTCTGACTACGAATCAGATCCGCCCAACCTCAGTAGTTGGCGCCACCGACAGCTCTCCGGCAAAACCGACAAGATCTGAGCTTCTCTCAATTTGTGAGTTTACCAAAAGTTTTACTAGTACATTATTTGCAGCCATAGAGGTTTTCACCAAGGAAGCGGTATGTTGGCTGCAATTAATGTACTGTAAACTCACAAATCTACAAAAACCTTTGTTCATGTACAAAGGTAGGTTATTGTCCAATATTTGCAATATTGCGTTTTGCCTTTACATATTTCATGGGCGAAACATCAGTGATTACCAGCCCAATTTTCCACTTCGTTCACAACTATTCAACCACTGGAATATCACTGGAATGTTCCAGAAAGTCATGCTTTTGGCATATTACTCATCCAGGTTCTTAAGACGGTACACACCCAGGGAGAAACTCGCAATGATTGATGGATAACGCTTCTGAAACTGAAAGTTTGTGAATATAATTGACCGAAGTGTGTGCCCACTGTGTGCGATTTATGTCTCACATAATCTGCTTGCATGGAGTTTGAATTAACTTTCTGCGCTAGGGACAAACACGACCAGGAAGTAGAAGATTGCAAGAGCAGCGTTGCAGGGAAGTCTCAGGCGACGGCACTTCTCCGCTTGTGTCCTCTAGCTGTCACGGCACACTTGATGTCCCTGCGCATGGACGCACGCGAATCTTGCTTGACTTGACCGTAGACTGCACCTGTGTTGATCGAGCGAGGTCGGTGAGATTGGTCCCGACGTTGTGAACAGCAGGGCTCACTACAATTCCCACAGCGCAGACTGCTCTTGCGGCGAAAAATTAATTTCGAGTGACCAAAAAGAGGAGTTCAGATAGAATTTTTTCTCCTTTTTATTCTTATTGTTTAGTCCTGACTGCGGATCTGTTTAAATTCTTGGAATTTAGGCTTATTCAGAGGAGTTTGTGTGGAGGAGGATCGTGCACAAAGCACGCGCCAGCGATGATAGACGAGGAGGTTAGGCGGGATTGAATCGGATTGAGCTGGGACGAATGGCGGAACATGATGCTCAGCTCCGCAGTATGCATCCGAGGAAGCGGAACGAGACGTTGAGGCTGATCGTTACCACCTTTTTAAGCATTGCGTTGGGGTTTTTCATAGGAATCTTCTTCATAAGGGTAAATGAAGAAGACTCGAATCAGCCTCTCCTTCCCGTTTGTATTTCACTGCTCTCTTTTTCCGAAGTTGCTGAATCATGACATGGGTTTTGGCGTTGTAAGCGCTGAATGCTTATCGTAAGGAGTCACAAGAATCGCCCGTCTCCAGGACCTTGTCGTTTACTGTGGTTTGTGTTTTGCAGTTCGGGTTGACGAATGGATTCGGAAATGGAATTTTCATGGCTGATGATGTTCACAAATATGACCCCATGTCTTCTGTACCATCTCGACATCCTCGTGGAACTGAGGGACTACCGCTAGGTATTATCATTCCTGAGTCGGATCTGTACCAGCGCAGATTGTGGGGTAAGCCTGATGAGGTAGATCCTCTTTCCTACAGCCCTGCCCTCTTATTTTAATATCAAGTGGAAAAATGATATGCTGAATTCTGCTCACAGCTTCTTGATTTCCAAGTCACTTCTACTGCGGGCTGTGACTTCTATACACTTAATAATCATTTCAACACTCAAACCTTTTTTTGCTACAAAACTCAGTTCATGGCATTTTGAACTCGTTTAGAAATGTTCCAACGTCGGAAAGGAAGAAGCGTATGAAGATCTGCGAAGGTTTCGGGTATATAGAACCAGAGCATTGTGTTTTAGATTATCTAACTCGAGGCCAGTCATATCGCAAGAACTGCAGTGAGAAACTTGTTACGAAGCTGAGCAATTCTTGGGGGAAAGACCTTCTGCTTCCACATTGCGTATGGTAATATCCACTGAACTGTATAATCTTGAACATACAGAAGGAAATAATGAATTGACCAAATTTGATACGTTTTGAATCTTCCCACTTGAGCTGAAGCATCAGATACTTCGCGGGTTCGATATTATATGTCCCACGTGGAAGGCAAGAAGTAAGTCATAGATCTTACATGGGTGCTTACAGTCCACTAAATGAGAAGTATACGTATACGCAATGAAGTATAAGGTAGTAAACACTTGAGGCTCTTGTGTCTGTTCAATTAAGTTAACAAATTCGATTAAGTTATGGGTAGTTGATGAGAGAAGGTTTTCCCACCTTCGAGGCACTTTCTTCAGTGAAGCGTGTGTGGGTGGGCAGGGGGATGATACAACTACGATACGCATTTAGCAAATGATCATGTTTCCAGCATCCACTTCATCATAGTACGGTACCAGATATCTAAGTTTTTAGCTGGAAGTGAACTTTCCGGTATATGCCTGAGGTGCTGGGCTAATTTACAAGTTTCGAAGGAGTAATATGATAAACCTGCTGGATACTTGCACTTACTCTCTACGTACGGTCTTTCACTTGTGTAGGACCTGCCTGCGAATCCATCGAAGCACCTTGTGACTTTCACTGTGGGCATCAAGCAGAAGGACATTGTCAACAAAGCTGTCCAAAAAGTAGGTATCCATAGGTCACGTATCCATAAGCTTACAGAAGTTGTTTGTTTATGAAGTAGTTCTTAAGTAATGGTTCTTTATGATGTCAGTTCCTAGAGAAAGGTTATTGGCGATATATGTTTAGAGGCCTTGAAGTAGAGCCATTTGAACCGACCCATTTGACACTGTGCAGTTTCCAAAAGAGTGGACTATTTTGTTGTTTCACTACGATGGAAACACAGATGCCTGGAATGAATTTGAGTGGTCCAAAACTGCCATCCATATCAGTGCCAAGAAACAAACAAAGTGGTGAGGACAACGTTCATACTGCAAACTGAATCTATACATTGCGTACCAGGTTCAGTTGTTATTAGGAGTTTGACTTGCTTACAGGAGCTTAACTTCGATCCTGCCATTAGGGTCTCTAGTGAATTTTTCCAAGACTTGTTAACGGATACTGAAACGTATGTTGCTGATGCCAAATTGGTCGCCATAACGTAAAACACCCAGTCTGATATTGGAGCTGCTTCTGGAATAAAGATTTAGTCCCTGAATATTGCGTGTTGTTTGTGAATAGGTGGTACGCTAAGCGCTTTTTGCACCCTGATATCGTAGCTCCGTATGATTACATATTTATATGGGATGAGGATTTGGGTGTCGATCATTTTGATGGAGAAAAGTAAGACAGCTGCATGCTCTTGATTTTGATTCCTCTCTGGACGCTGAATCTGTACCCCACTATGCTTGGGATTGTCTGCATTGTGGATTCAATCTAGCCATTATGGGCATACTTGGCGGTCAGCTTGACTACGCAGTTTAAGCTAGACAGGCAGCTAGACCTGTGTTTTTTGTTCCTCTTTTCAACACTCGTTTATTAGCTCATATGTGAATCTCATTACAGGTACATCGAGCTTGTCAAGAAATATGGCCTCGAAATCTCCCAGCCAGCTTTGGAACCTGACAGGGGATTGACATGGCAGATGACCAAACGTAGGTCTGATGTCGAGGTGCACAAGTAAGGTTTCATCTAGCTCTTGGAGACCTCACACAACTATTGCACTAAGTTGGAAAGTACACATGATAAGTGTATTGGAAAGGTCGTATTTCTTTCCTTCTTTACATCTGAGAATTGTCTGTGTTTCAGGATCACAGAAGAGCGACCCGGATGGTGCAAGGATCCAAATTTACCACCATGCGCTGGGTACTTACCTCTACACTTTTTGAGTTGGGTTAATTTTTCCATGATAATAAGGTGCTCTGGAGGCGTTCTCCTTTACATATTGACGTTAAGGAACACCTTCCCCTCATATGCGAGGAATGGAGCCATCAAGACGGCTACTCCTGTTAATCTGTAAAAGCTTCAAACTGGTTACTTAGTGGACGAAGACAGTCTAATAGGGCACGTTACGTGCAGGTTTGTGGAAATCATGGCACCTGTATTTTCCCGCAAGGCATGGCGATGTGTGTGGCATATGATCCAAGTGAGTTTAAATATGAGCACCTACTTCTAAAGTTTGATTAGGTATAGCAAAATGTGTCTGATTGACATTCTACAGATCAGCTTCTCATGAGGTAGAGGTTGCTTAGTCACATGTCAGACATTTGCTTGAAATGTTGTGCTGCTTCCAACAATGTGGATGTTATTAGCTTATCAAATTTATCTGTCCTCTCCACATCACTTTGGGGGAGTTTTCTGGAGTATTTTAGACTGTTCTTTCTCAACATTTCAATGATGTCCGACACGCAGAATGACCTGGTACACGGTTGGGGGCTAGACATGAGTATGCGAAGATGTGTTGAGGTAAGATTATAGGATAATCAGGACTTTGTTTCATCAGCCGGCTTACATAGACGGCTTATGTCGTAGCTTGTATCTTTGTGTGGGTCATGTGGAGCCTCATGTATAGACAGTTTTGCCTAGTCAACCGACTTCAGGTCTTACTGTAGTGACTTACTTCTCCATCTGCTAACACGCCATCTGTCGGGATGCAGCCTGCTCATGAAAAGATAGGAGTTGTGGACGCACAATGGATTAGGCATCAAGTAGTGCCTTCTCTTGGAAATCAGGCAAGTCAATGACTCTGTTTTATCCGGGATATGCTTTATAAACTGCTTAGTTAGAGCAACCGTGACTGTTAACTCATAAGCTATGAAATTTTAGTTCTTAAGTTGTTCGCTGCATTTCGTTCATTGTTTTGAGTGATTTTCATTGTGCAGGGAGAGTCGAAGGACGGGAGACAGCCATGGGAAGGGGTGAGATGCTCGCTGATTTGTTTGAACTATACAAAATTTTGTGATATATGCAATTCAATACCATGTGAAGCATCTGTAGATCTCTTGGTTTCTCCAGTCAAGGAATTGTACCTTATTGTATTGCTGTTGTGGCCTTATTTTCAGGTCCGTGAGAGATGCAGATACGAATGGAGACTATTTACTGATAGAATTGAGGCAGCAGAAAAGGACCCAACGCCTGTGTAGAAACCCAAAGAATCTAGAAGGCACTTTGCAGGACCGTTCGAATACATTGCTTGATATTTCGTCTTTAAAAAAGTTGATGATTCATTTGATTACAGTTACAAACACGGATTTGGATACCAACCTCAGTCTCAGAAGTTTGGAGCTCCTGACTTATTACAGGTGTTGATTCTTCCATTTGTACCTAATTTTTGTTTACCTCTCTAATTCCTTTTTAGACTCAAAGGCAGCCACACAATGGGCGAAACGTATATCTGTGGTACTGAGACCTGAACTTGCATCTGCTGAAGGGATCTGGGTTTCAGTATGTGCTTCAGGTGGAAGTTTCGACAATCCGTCAGGAGACGAATAAGTCACTTGCCGAATCATTCACATATGCCGATGACTTAAAGCGTTTGAACTTATCCAAAGTGTTTCAAAAAGTTTGTAGCAGGTGATCAGAGCATTCATGGGGTCCTCATTATTAAGCTGTAGTTAGTCAAATGTTCATTGACTCGAATTTTTACGGAACAACACTATTGAAAAGTCATCATAAGGAAGGCTCTAGTAATCCACATTGTCAACCAGCGGATTTCACGTCGTGTTTTTCCAATGAATTTGATAACACTAATAGACTTTTGATAGTATTGGAATTGCTCGTGAAGCAGCTTGCGGGCATAAGGATCCAGTACATCATGAGCACATCTTACAAACATCGTTATAACAAATTGGAAACCACAATGCGTATGCTCAGGTAAAACCAAGATCTCCGGTCAAGATCTCCGGGTATCGGTAAACATGAAACTGGATGCCAATTTCTCATCTTCTCAAGTGGATTGACTCGTGGACTTTATTTGATAGAACGTGATTCGTGGACTGAGGAACTCGTTCAGATCAGTCTTTATTTGAGTAAATGTGGTATTATGAGTTATTTGCCATGTCTTGTCTCTCCGGCATGTTTCATCCACCTACAGTATAATTTTTCAACAAACAAAGTTTCAAGTCTTAGTTTCTCTGCTTATGAGCATTATTCTGATTTTATTCCCTTAATTTGATTTGGCTTCACAAATGTACTTTGTGCACTATGAAACTTATTCTTCAATTCTAATAAGTTTTTGATAATCCATACTTAGTATGTATTTAAACTATGTTTTGCATAATTGGTTGGTAGAAACTTAGTAAATATAATTACTTTCAGGTTAGAAACCAAGTATTGCAATTTTCTGTAGTTCTTGAAAATTTTATTTCAACTCCTTGACTTTGGTTTATTATATGCTTAAGATAATAGAATAATGTATATGGGGTTATGGAGAGCTATTTTACCCTCACCAAAGTAAATTGATTGCTAAGTTCTATCTAAAAGAAAATGGAGTTAAGATATTAAATGATTTCTACAAAGTACTGGAAACTTTGCAAACAATCATTCCTAAATGTAGAAAATTGTTGACTAAAAGTTAAAGATGTGAAAAGATAAAATAAAACAATCTAAATCTTAGAAATATTCTTGTGTTTGGATGAATCATAATCTTAAATACAACATGACTAGTATAGTTCGAAATATGTGTACACAAGAATTTCAATATTTTTTTGGTTTTATTAAGATATTAAAACTAACATAATTGTTTTTAACATAAATGTCTAAAAATCATTTACAAATTTATTCATAAAACTTAATCAACTGGAGGTGATGGTTGAAATACACTGTACTCATGATAGACATTTAGTAGCAAGTTTTATTTTGATATATCACAAATTAAATAACTTCATAGAAAACTAAAACTACATCTGACATCAACAATTCGAACTCTAAAATAAAAACTGAATATTATAGTAGAGATATATCGATATTCACATGTGTTTATAAGTATATTTATGTATGTGAACTCGAAAAGATTAAAAAGTTCATCTATTTGCGTGTTTGATTTTCAAATATTTATTTAAAAATTACCTATTATATATTACTTAGTTAAGAATATTTTTCAATACAGGAATTTTTTTAATCAAATTTCTGAAATCAATAGAATCATAATGATAATATAACATATATTTTTCATATTAATATATAGCAGAAATTTGCACATTAAAAATAGTTAAAAATTAAAAAAAGATAAATTTCATAATAATTTCATAAAAATATAATTTCATTTGTCTTCTAATATAATTCAGCTTACTGATATATATATTTAGAACAGCTCGACCCTGTAATGTATCAAAACAAGCAAAGGCGCAGAAAAAAAAACATTTTTTCACCTTTGTTTAAAGGTCTCGACCAGCGGGAGGAGGAGTCTGTTTCGCTTAAAGATGAACAAATTTTTGAACGCATTGCTTTAATTTCTTTTATATTATTTTTTTTATTGAGTTCAAATCATTTTTTTCTAATTTCATTTGTTTGTACGAAATCAATTGAGGAATTGAATCCTATTTTACAAGATCCTATTTGAACTATAAATCCTCCTTGTGTTTGTGCGGGATACGTCGCAAGTGCGATTGGCTGTTGCTTCTGTGTATCAAGGATAATAAACAGGCAGGAAAAAAGTTTGAAAAATATGTATATATTTTGTTACCTTTTTTGGTAAAGCCAAAGAAGGGAAGAAGGCCGACATGGGTGGTCCGCACACTAGAACTTATACTTAATTTTAATAGTAGTGATTAGAAAGAGAATGGCGCATTAGCATTTGAGTTGGTAAATACGTTGTAATTAGAAAAGTTAAAAAATCTATCCTTCATATCAACTGAAATGGCTTTCATATATACCTGCAGGGGTTTTATTTTATTCTTATATTGTATTATAATGTTTATCAACAACCTATCAAATTTTTTGTTTCATTACAGTGGTTGAAAACTTGAAGTTACATCAAAAGAAATTGGTATATTTTTATGATTACATAGAACTGTACCTGTTAAACTGCAGTACACGGTATGATGCAGCCGTTCAAAGGAGTTATATTATCGATATGACATATGCTTGAAATCTGATAACGACATTAAATGAAACGGGAGAACTAGGCAAAACGTTTTGATACTTTTTTGTTGTAATTTCTTGCCAAAGTTAAGTGAAATGATGATAATGAAGTTCATTGTAGAATAAATATGAGTTTCCTGCGTAGAGAAATTTTGTCAAGAGCATTTCTTTACTATCTGTGGTTGCTGTATGATTTACAAAGAACAGGATATCTGATGTCCCGATAGTGCTTCAAGGTGACTTGCATGCATATTCAGGTTATTCTCGTCCTAGCCTGAATATACACTTTTATATACATAAGTAAGGTTTATTAGTTAACCAAGTATGTAGTGATATGTGAAAGGATGTGCCTATGTGCGGTGTTATACACATATTTCATTGATGAATAAAATTTTAATTTCTGTTGTGTTATGGCTCATAGATGTTGAAGATATGGTGCTTTAGCGGTGACATTTTAAACAGTAAATCTCCAGGTACTTGCGTGTTTGACTGCGTCCTAACTCTGCACAATTATCTGTCAGATGCGAAATGCCGATCTGGTGATTTAGTCCCCTTTTTCAGAAACAAGGGTAGACGCGATAGAGGCTCTTCCCATCCTTTCTGTGTTCACTTTTCTAACCCGATGATTACGCTGAGATAAGCGTACATTTAAGCATTCATTTTTCCCCATGCATGTTCCGAAACAATGCCTCTCACGAGACCATGAACCACTTTATAACGCCAAAATTGGGAATCTCCAGAGAGCAATTTACGCCTGCAAGGATTGTCCCTTTGTAGCCATAACATCTGTCAACATACGACGAGACGACGAGATACTAAGAAAAAATCGCGAGAATATTTCCCCGTAGAACTGAGAATTCGAGATTGCGGTGGTGGCCCACAGTGAAGGTGATTCGTGCACGAGGGAGAGGGAGAGAGAGAGAACGGGTGTACCCTAGGACGGCCCGGTCCGTCAGATGCCGTCGGAATCGGAACACGGGAAAGACGATTCGCCGAATCGCACGGTGCTTAGCGAGTGCGGGCTGCGGAGATAGAAGAAGACCGTCCGGCACGGCTCCTTCCGCAGGAGCCGACAAGTGTGAGGGTCGACGACCGGAGAACTACACGGCAAACGGACGTGATCTGATCGGGAGAGGGAGCGGAGGGCCAATCAGGCCAGTCCCGTGCGGCTGCGGCCCAGTGGTAGGGAGGAGCCTTGCGGCGGATCAGATCGGCGTCTCCGTGACGGTAGACGAAGGAAGCAGACGGAAGCCGCAATCACGCGCGCACGCACGGCACAGATGCCGCAAGTGCTAGCCGCAAGCGCCAGCTACGGGGCGACGGAGATGGTGTGGTGGAAGGCGGGGATGAGTTCGCGAGTGGTGCCAGGGGGAAGAAGAGCGGAGGAGCGCAAGCGAAGACGAATAGACGAGCAGGCGAGAGAGAGCAGCGGAGCAGCAGCGCCAGATTGATCTTCCCATCGCTCTTCGTCGTCGGCTTTCTTTGGGCACCAGGCTGGCTTCAGGGCTTCTTTTTCGGGGGAGGGGAGGGGAGGGGAGGGGTTGCCTGATGCACTGGATTATATCGAACCGGGCGACGAGAAGCTGCGAGGACGAGTTTGTCCGATGAATCCACTCTACGCGAGCTTGAGAAAGTGTCGATTGGACGGAAGCTGAGAAGGGGCGTGCGACAATCTCCTTCTAGCATTAGGTGGAGGATGTAATCTGTTTTTGCCGCGTTGATTGGTGTCGGAACCGTGCAATTTGCCTGCCCCTGTGATCTGCGGGAAGCGGAGGAAGAGGAGCGAGCGAGCTCGAGGCGAGACGCGGATCGAGCATGGGGCGGTGCAAGGTCGAGAGAGTGAATGCCGTCATTTGCTCTTGCGGAGCTTCTGCAGCTGGAGGGCGTTTGGCGTGGACGAAAATGGCGTCGGAGTGATGCTGACAGGCATCGGGGAGATCCGGTGTCTTGGCACGGGCTTGGAGTCTAAAGCTTCGCTTTAGACTGAATTTGAGTGTGTCGCTTTGAGAAGAGAGCACCAATGAGTGGAGAAAACCGAGCGAGGATGTTGATGCCATTACAAAATACTATGAGGCTGGCGGGCCATTCCCTCCAGCCTCAAGGCCATACTCTGTTTCTGAGGGAGCCGAACAAGGTTGAGCACCCTTTTGTCCTGTGTGCTGCGCCCCTTGGTGACATGCACCCTGCGGCCAGTACTGTGCTCGAAACCGTCGAAGGTGAATCTTTTAATCTTTCCTTTACCGTTCTCTGTGTGCTGCGAGCTCAAATAATTCTGAACAGTACCAGATGGACAAGTGTAATATGTAGTTTCCGAAGGAATTTTATTATCAGTAAAGAGGTCAACATTCAACTGAATGATTCCTTTTTTTCTCTCCTCTCGTTCCAAATTATTTCAAACGAGGAATCCATGGATCACACCTATTTACTGCAATTCCCTTGGTCTATTTTGGAGTCACCATGTATGCTTACATGTGAAACTCGACTGAGTATTTATCACACGATGCTCTCCAAGCTCACCATTGAGTTCTGTATTCTTCGATAGCAGACGAAATAATGTTATGAAAACTACGTGATTTAATTAAAAATCTCAATGTTCAACACACGTGTCCAAGTACGTCCGTCCTTCCACTTTTGAGCTCTAATGCACTACTTTTTTTTTCTGCCTGCATCCATCGCGAGGCAGAGTTTTCTGGCCTTTCATCGCGGTTTTGAATGAAAGCAGTGAATCACAAAAAGTACCAGTTATAGACCCCATTTCAACTGACTTGAACACTGAAGAACATGAGAGATGCTCGCGTCGCATTTTCTGTGCTTGATACTACCTCTTGGTGTCATTCGTCAACGGGAGACGTCAGGTCTACTTCTTGTTTGCTCACTGCACCGCAGTCATGTCTTTCAATATGACTACGGTGCAGTGAGCAACAAAAAGAACTGCCTACGTAAAAAAGTATCTATTCAATTTACCTGTATGGAAAGTCCCTTATCTCGACAGGTGATGCTTGAAGAAGTCCTCAAAGGACGAGGAAAGCATCGATTTTCTTGAAATTTGGATATGTGGAGCATCGTTAGTTTCGAGTGAAGGATAGGAGATATCTAGAAGGTTGCGTACATATTCTGCCATTTTAGCATAGTTTGTGAGGTGGCACAGTGGTGGAATAGATTGATGCATTCACAGAAACATCTTGAGTACTTTTGACGTTCCTGACGAGGTTAACTGGAGGATGCCGTATTTTTTGTTCACGTATAGCTCTCGATCTTTTCCTTTCTCAATATGCTCTTGAAATTCTTCCCTGTTTTGTTGCATGGTGATTTCTGTGTTCATGAGATCTTCTTGATGTGTCCATATGAGTTCTATTTGTCGCCTTGGACCGTTTACCCTGGTGGTTTCGTTTCACATTACCGAGCTTAGTACGCAATCTTTGTATGCACTTTTTGCCTCCTGATCTCACTCCGGAGTTTGCATTCACCTCACAGTTGCTTCTCTGTGTTTCCTTGAGGTTTTTATTTTCACGAGTTCAAAAGCATGACTACGGTTTTTTATTTCTGTTTTGTTTATTGTTTTCTTGGTTGGGTTTCGTTTTTACTGGTTCCTGTCTTATGTCAGAGTCAATACACTGTAATTTTACCTCCTTTGGGCTTGCTAGCATAAGAGAAATGATATATCCAAAATCATAGTGCTCTAAGTTGGTCTATGTCAATGACGTGAAGACAGATATGGTATCAGAGTCTATTTTTAAGCTGCTGATGTTCCACTTGGAGTCACACTGCTACAGGTTGGATTTAATTAGAAAGGTTCGGGGTACGCCTTGGTTTCAGTCACAGGATTGCTTTGTTTTCTTTCAAAGCCGCCCCATGGGATTTCCAACTGGAAAGGATGGAATCTTAATTAGATAAGTACATCACGAAAATTGCAATCCATAGAGATCATATAAACTTCTTTGAACAAAAGCGTCGGGCCGAGTATGCGTCTTTATTATAACAGTGCAATATAAGCTCTTTGAATATCTTGAATCATATAGTGCTTATCCAAAACAGCCCCCTCCCCCCTATCTTCCCCCCTTCCCCCCAGTTCAGAGCATTTGCACTAGCAGCGACACGATGCCAGCGAGGCGGAGACATTCTCTTATTGAAGCGAACCGTCTCATTTTCCTTATCTAGGTTGTGTTCGTACTTTGAAACTCTAGCTGTTAAACACTAAGTGGCTATCCCCCTGACCCCTGAATGAAGCTCTGAAATGTATACTTACATATATTCTTGATATGAACCTCAGCTGTAGCGTTCTACTCAAATGCGTAATGACACACTGCAGATCTGACTACGTAAAATCTTTATCATCTAACCCGAGCTGGAGCTGGCTAGTCAGATTGTTCTTCTCTGTAGTTGAGATAGAGATAAATGAATGGCTTCTAGACATTAGGTACGCACGAGCGTCCAACGCCCATCCTCAGCCAGCAGTATCAGCCAGCAGTATTTTTATGCTCTCCATCTCGAAGAGTAGTTAGTATTTGAACCTTTGGAAAAATATACTTACTTAACTAACTAACTAAAGTTATCCATCTTTTTATAAAGCACGATTGCTGATCGATACTAGATGTGATCGACGATCTCCAGACTGACCGTCATTAAGTTGTGGGGAGGAAGACGGGGAACTGTACTGGTTAATTTTTTCTTAAGAGACCAAAGTGTTGTGATAATCGTTTCGATTGTTGTTGAGAAGTGCTCGGAGTCTTCTCATATCGGAGACTTGGAATTGCAATTGTGGTCGCGAGAGGAAAACAATACCGAGGTGATTCCACTACTAATGTTGTAAGGTGGTCGTTGCAGTTCTTTACATGTATCCAATACTGTATAGTCGCCTTGAGAATGTTACTGACAGTGAAATATGCTCTACAAGTGGTTGAAACTAAGATACTTGTTTCTGGCATGTGTTGATGGCGATGTAGACGAGGAGAAGTTGCTGGCAGTAGCGCATCAACACTACAAAGCAGGAAATTATCAGTTGGCATTGGAACATTGTAACATTGTATATGAGAGGAACTCGAAACGTACAGATGCCCTGCTCTTACTCGGTGCTATCTACTACCAAGTAAGTCTTCGTAGATTCGATTTCATGAAGGAAGAAGGTAGGTGAAGGTAGCCGTAGCCAGTTTGTGGGATACATCAGCCAGTCCTTAGTTGTAATGGTCATCTCTTGACCGGCGTTCAACGTTTATGTAAGGTGTTAGCTCAAATGAAGCGTTGTCTGTCTGCTCGTAATGAATCAGTCCTGTTTATCGTGCAGCTACACGATTTTGACATGTGTATTGCAAAGAATGAGGAGGCGATTCGACTGGATCCAGAATTTGCAGAATGCTATGGTAACATGGCTAATGCCTTGAAGGTAATTTTCTGTTCATTATTACGATATCCCTTTTTTGATCCTGCCTCATGTTAGCTTCGGTAATTAACTGTTCATTGTCCGATAATTTGTTTGATCCTGCCTCATAATAGAAGCTATGGATTGCCTCAGTAATAGATGTTTGAAATTCGAAGAGGCTTTGTTGTTGGTTCAAAAGCGCAGCTTTCGTTTCTTATGTGGTGAAGGGAGCACGCATAGCTGTTCATGAGTCTCTTTTCAAATGGAAGTGAAGGAATCTAAGAATGGAACAGAACCTGAAGGGTTCATCTGACTAAAGGACTAGATCTGAAATTCTTCTGTTGGTCGGTCGCAGGAGAAAGGAAACATCGACCACGCTATACACTATTACACGTTGGCTATAGAGGTTTGTGACGCTGTGGAGGTCAATAGCCCTTCTGCCATTTACTGTGAGTCGTCAGCATTTTCTAGTGTTTTTACTCACTAGCTACGGTTGAATTTGTAATGTGAGCAGTTGAGACCAAATTTTTGTGATGCTTGGTCCAATTTGGCGAGTGCATACATGCGGAAAGGAAGACTTGACGAAGCAGCACAGTGCTGTAGACACGCCCTGTCTCTGAACCCTCGATTGGTGAGTATTTACACCACGGTTTGAGAGGGAACTGCCTAGTAGAGTAATAGGTGGTGAATATTTTTCGGCTTAGATTTAATTGCTACATCCTACTACCCTGTCGTCTCCGGATTGAATTGGTTCGTCTGATCAGCAGACTGCAGCAGAATAGGAGTTTTTACAGTTGCTTTTGGTCTCATTTATGTGAGCTAGAAATTTAGGGTAAAGACTTATCTTGTTCCTGCCGTTGCTGGTTTTTCATAATTGGAGCTTGTGTTAAAAATTATGTTGAATGGTTCTGATTTGTGGCAGTGTCGGGACTGTTCAGATTTTTGACATTGCTTCATCCGTTGTAAACTACAGGGACTTAGTTTGCGAAGTGTCGCAGTAGCATTTGCATGAACATCTTTGAGGTTTCTTGTATGTACTTAAGTTTTTCACTAATGTCAATCCACTGCAGGTCGATGCTCATAGCAACCTTGGCAACCTTTTCAAAGCTCAAGGACTAACACATCACGTACGTCCTCTCGAATTTCTCTTGGCTGCAGAAGACATTAGCGCACATGTTCCACCATGTTCAAAGCCTTTAGGATCTGAATGAATGGCCAGGGAAATCTTCTGCCAATTCTTCTACCAGTAAGGCAGATGTGAGCTCTGTAGAACGTATCTTTTCTGCTGCTAGTGGAAGACTCACGTTGATGACCCCACATTTAATTGCCATTTCTCTTGCAGGCGTACGTCTGCTACACTGAAGCCATCCGAATTCAGCCAAATTTTGCAATTGCATGGTCAAACTTGGCTGGTTTGTTCATGGAGGCTGGAGATTTTGAGAAAGCGCACACTTACTACAAGGTGGAATTATTTGGCCTTCAGACAATTGAATGTTATCCCAGTTTGCAGATTTTCTCCCATGTGTACCAGGATACTTTTATGCAGCTTGTTGTTGCTTGCTCTCTGTTCACCCTCCGAAACTCCTGACTCTGACTGGATGTCCTGCCTTCCAAGAAATTTAGAAATGAGAGCCGTCGAGTGCTTTGACTACGCTTGTTATCCTGTTAACCCGGATGCCTCCATTTACATCTACCATAGTATTTGCCACTTGGTTTCTGTTTCACGCTGCTTGTTCTTAATTCTTGTGTAGGCATGCACACTTAGAGGAACACGGTACTCTGTTATCTATTTGATGAAGTATTTCTTCCAAAGTGGTTGAGCTTCTCCAACTGTCGATTCTTTAGGGTTCAACTTGTGACTGATCTAGGAGGCGTGCAAGTTCAAGTTGTATGACAGACTTACGTATGATGTTTACAGGAAGCGATTCGCTTAAAGCCAAACTTTTCAGATGCTCACCTCAATCAGGGAAACGTCCTCAAGGTATGACATAGAGAAACATGAAGTTTACTCGTCCGTATATTCCTGTCATATAGGCTGATAGGCACGGACCCCACACCCTAGATGAGAATAAGAAGTAGCTGACGAGAAGATGGGATGAAGTGGGGGCTGGATGGGGAACGATCAAGCTGAGAGCTATGATGGATGATGGTCTCTTCGACAGTTCGAGGAGCTTCCAGCTGTCAACGAAGAATATCTTCCAAATTCAAATTAGAGCCCCAAAAATATTATACGAAAACATTCTCTTGGCAATGCTCATTTGGCTTTTTATTCAATGCTCTAACATATCAAAATAAGATTAAGACCTAGTGATAAGGCCTTCAAATCATAAGTTGAGAGTATAAGTCATCTATTCTGCAGGCGCTTGGAATGCCTCAAGAAGCAATACTTTGTTATCAGAGGGCAATACAGTTACGTCCTGACTACGCGATTGCTTATGGTAAGTTCCTTGGTTCATGTATGTGTGGTCATGTCTCCAGATTTCCTTACTTTCTGGTGATAAGTAGTTGCTATGTGGCGACGCTTAGTACTGGCTGGTTCTCAGCGTCAGTCCATATTGATGCTTGTAATGGAAGTCATCTGCGGGCGTGTTAGACGAGTCTAATTCTGACAGAATGTCTTTGCGTGTTCTGTTTTCTGTCTCATACATCCTGTTCGCTCGCGAAGGTGCACAGCTGGGGATATATTTATGGGAAACACAAGTTCCCCGCCATTAGGCTTCCGAGTGGTCATGTCCTTCTTGTAGTTATGGACCGTTGAGTCTGCAAGGAATCTAAAGTTGTCGCAGAGGCTGAAGCTTTCATTCCCTACCAACTTGTTTGTGGGCAATTGAAGTTGGACACCCGTCAACTCTGTGCAGTATATTACTGACACAGTTCATCATCTACCCGATGAGGATGTTTGGCAACTGGTGTATCAGCAGTGTATGTTTGACCGTCTTATATATGCAGAACCGCCCCGTTTCAGTGTCTGGAACACCAGTCTCGAAAACCTGTCAGGGCATGTAGTGTGACAGGGGCTTGCTGGATACGCTATGCTTGTGTGCAGGAAATCTAGCGAGCGTGTACTACGAGCAAGGTCAATTGGATCTTGCGATTATTCATTACAAGCAAGCGATACTTTTGGAATCGACGTTTCTCGAAGCGTATAATAATCTGGTAGACGCCTTATCTCACTCTTTCTGTTGTGGTTATATACGCGTGCACTTCGTGTTTTTAACAATCAATTGGGGCGTTGACAATGGCAATTTTCACATACTGATCTTTTAAAAATCTTGTTCAAATATTTGTTCAAATAAATACTTCTTCGTTCATACAATGGTCTCATGAATACGTTATACGGTTGTTATCTTTACTGTGTTTACTGAAAATTGCCCGTGCCTTTCGTATCTTGCATTATCATTCTTCCGTGTTCAGCTCGTAGTAGTTTTAGGCTTGCATTTTTTTGAATCCTTAAGCTTTTTTTCCCCCAATTTCACCTTTCGATTATTCAATGCCACGTTTTCTTTTCTTCGCTACTTGTCTCAATTATTGTTTGATAGGATCTTTGTCTCTCTTGTTCCACCTTCATTTTGCTTATGGCTTTCTGAGATGTTTAGCTCCCGTCTCTGCTCGAGTGGACATTCGAGGAGCTTTTTATGTGGTTTTTCATGTACACTATTCATTTCTGTGTTAGTATTCGTACTCACCGTTAATTTACGCGGTTTTGCAGGGAAACGCCCTGAAGGATGCCAACCGGGTGGAAGAAGCTATCAGTTGCTACCAGGTCTATGTTCTATTTTAGGCTTGACCTCTCAAGACCAGTGATTTTCATGCCATCCGGAGTCATCTGATTATATGCTAAATGCCAGATGAGTCTAGCTGTCGACTTTGTTTGTCTGTCCTTCGAGAATATCAAATCATCATAGTCGCCATGATTCTGAATTTGAATTAGTGTACTTAAGTGTTGTGTGTTTTATTAGTATTTTGCAAGCAGTAGATGGAGTTTTAAAAATGATATAACGTCGTCATCCTTTGGTTGCACTCTCATGCTGTTCCATACGGTTTTCTCCTTGTATGCCAAATCCTTTTGGTCTACCGACCTCGTCTTATCTTGCTATGTAAGGTCATTAAACACAGTAGCTCAATGACGCTCTATATGCAAAATTTATTTTATTGGAAAGTTACTTGAAAACATTAAAAAACTTTGATGCTAAAAGAATGGGATGTTTTTCTTCTTAATAACTTCGAATTGTCATTCTGTCGTTTCTCGTAAGAACGAAATATGGAAGCATTACTATGCGGGTACCTTATGTGAGTTATGTGTTTATTGTATATGAATGAGGAACTCGTTCTTTTCATCTAAAATGGTATTGTTATATAATTGTATAGAATCCAACCAGTTGCTGGATTTTTTGTGTGCAGTCGTGTCTTGCATTACAAGCCAATCATCCTCAAGCTCTTACAAATCTTGGAAACATCTACATGGAGTGGTAATATACCTGCATTCTGACAACATATACAGCCACTGGCACTTTTCCTGCTTTCCGATTTTCTTTCGTCAACTGGATTGTTGTATGACTCTGACGAAGTTGATATTGGATTTTTTTCTTTATTATTTTTTCAGGAACCTCGTCAATACAGCTGCAAACTTTTACAAAGCAACTTTGAGTGTCACTACTGGTCTTTCTGCTCCATACAGCAATCTTGCGACCATTTATAAACAACAGGTAAACCTCGGACAAGCGGGTGTTCAAAAATTGTTCCATAAGCTTTATATGTTCTGCATGTTTTAGAAGTTGTATAGAGGTATACGCCCTTCTGAAAGTCGACTGTGCGAATGATGATTTGCGCTTAAGCATCTGAGCTTTGACATCTACCTACGTGTCAAGATTTACAGTCCACCTAGTTCCTTTTTCGAGCTTAGTCTCTATAATTACTAAAATGGGAGTGCTTTCCAGGGACACTACGCCGAGGCTATTGCCTGTTACAATGAAGTTATGAGGATAGATCCGACGGCGGCAGATGGGCTTGTCAACAGAGGAAATACATTGAAAGAAATTGGCCGCGTGAGCGAAGCAATTGCAGACTACCTACGAGCTGTAACTATTCGTCCAAATATGGCTGAAGGGCACGCAAATTTGGCTTCGGCCTACAAGGATAGGTTGGTTTCGTTTAACTTTCAAAATGTACATAAGTTCTTGAGTCTGGAGGAGTGCTTGCCACTCTGCATTCCACAAGAATGATGAATTTTCTTGTATTTATTTCCCCATTTTTGCCATGTCTGTGTTGTACAACTAATAAACATTACTGAGCAAATCAGTAGTCAACTGGCCAGCTTTGGCCAACAATTATGCTGAGCTTCTTAGCAACTCATCAATCACAAAAAAGAAGAGGGGCGAAGCTATTTGCTTCATCCCTCGGGTTACCGGGTAGCCATGACTTGTGAAAAAGGTAGATGCGATGCCATCAAATTTAGAGGCACAAGCCTCTAAGCCCTACGTTGGTGTCACATATTTGAATGCCAGGATTCATGCTCCAACAAGTATTACCGAACTACTCTGAGCATGTAATATTCGACGAGGTATTTACTTGATGGGACCCCATTTGAAACTAAACTGCTTACTGGGACCCTTTAAGTTTCGTTTTACCCGATGGGACCCCTCCGAATGTACACGTCACGCATGTTCTAGTATGGACAGACGGTGCAAGTAGTGGAACTGTGACAGCGAGACTGTGCTCGTAGTTCTCTTTGAATCGCTCAAATCTCCACTCAGTGCGATCAGACCCGGACCTTCTTCGTCCGAGACTTTCCCATTACACCAAAATTTGTAAAATCACCTGTGAATTTCCTCCAAGGATTCCACACGTCCGCTGTTGCTCATTGAGTCTAATTTCCCACACCTCAAAACCCAAAACCTCTGTGCACTTGTGACAATGTCTTTCACAGTTCATTGTTATGAGATTTGCGATCGAAGAGATTCGCTAAAGCTCGCATATGATGCGAGCTTTAGTGTACAGGAACACCTTTCAGAAGTTGGCGACGGTGTGCCGTCGGTGGGGTCCCATCGGGTAACACGAAACTTGATGGGTCTCATGAAGCAATTTAGATTCCGATGGGGTACCATCAAGTAAATACCTCGATTTTTGACATTACCTGAAATATTTTTGATGCACTCCTTCCTTCATCTGTCTGCTGCTCTGAATATTATTACTATATTGATTATGCTGGCAATTCATGCATAAGTTTATAGCTGCAAGCTGGAGTTCTACGAAGCAAGGATTGAAAGATGCCACCTTCAGAATTTTATTACAAACTTGGTCTCTCGCCAGGAGCTTTAGAGATCATTGAGAGGCTATCAAGTATTAGTGGAGTCACCATTCACTAAAAATTTGTGCTGGTGAACAATCTTTTAGTCTTGATTTCTTGACACATACTGTACAACAGTGGGCATGTAGAGGCCGCAATAAAAAGCTACAAGCAGGCTTTGGTGCTACGGTCCGATTTTCCCGAAGCTACATGCAATCTCCTCCACACCCTTCAGGTATATGGGATTGGCTGAGGAAACTTGTCTATGTGTACGGAGAATGCTTTACAGACTATCCGATTTGAAGGGAACGCTGGGTCTCTCAGATTAGAAACTGGTCAAGTGACCTTTTCTGGGCCTTTTCCTATCAAATTATTTGTCAGTCACTGTTCGAAATGTTACTGAATACGAACTTTTCCACATGCGAATGTGGTGTCTTTTTACGACTTGCAGTGTGTCTGTGACTGGGAAGATCGCGATAACAAGTTTTTGGAGATTGAAGCTGTCGTTAAACGTCAAGTGAAGGTTTGCTTTGCTTTCTCCGATATCATCTATCTCTTCAGATATTTTTTAAAACGATCTTGGTCTATCTTTTGGTATTACGTCAACTCATAAGAAATGTATCGCAGATGTGTGCACTTCCCAGTGTTCAACCTTTTCATGCGATTGCATACCCGATTGATCCTTTGCTTGCTCTCGATATCAGGTAACGTCTTCTTACATCAAATCAAAACTCCATTATTGATCAATACCCTGTACCCCGTACTGCTTTTGTATACGTTGATACTATTGAGGCCTAATGTAGAGGTTTCCTGTTCGGTTTCCTACTTGTTTGGCTTGATGGGACCTTCCCATCCTTTCTATACAAATGGCCCCTGGATACATATTTATAGATTTCATATCAGAAGCTTGGAACGCTTGGTCGATTGATTTATTTTTGGTTTGTTGTGCTTGTAGCCGTAAGTACGCAGAACACTGCTCTCTTATTGCCTCACGATTACAGCTGCAACCATTCGTCCATCCCGCCGCAGTACCCGTGAAAAAGGAAGGCGGCAGCGGGAGGCTACGTGTTGGGTATGAATCAATTCTAATTATGACTACCGATTGTTGGATGCTCTGAAGGGGATATTATAGGTGCAGCTATGAATTTTCATGAGTTAAAAATACTGGATATATTTCTTAGAGCTCTGGTAAGCAGCAAGTTAACCTTTGTGACAAATATCCGCAGATACGTGAGCAGCGATTTCGGAAACCACCCACTTTCCCATCTTATGGGCTCCGTTTTCGGAATGCATAATCGCGAGCATGTTGAGGTAAGGATGATCCGGACAAAACTTTCAACGTGAATTTTTTTATGAAAGGCGGAAGACCTTCGATGTTATTTCCTTTTCGGTTTTAGAGAAATCTGATATGGATTTTTATCATAACTCATTGTTGTTTTATACACCTTCTACGTGTGCAGGTATTTTGCTATGCGTTAAGCCAGAGTGATGGCAGCGAATGGAGGCAGCGCATATCTGCTGAAGCAGAACACTTTATCGATGTGTCCTCGTTGTCTTCAGATATAATAGCTAAAATGATCGCCGAAGATCATATTCAGATTCTAGTGAATCTCAATGGGTACACAAAGGTGTGTATTACCGCTTCCATCTGCAGTACTCTCTATCGAACCCTAGTACGCTGTGGTTTGGGCTCTGCATATTGTTCATAGCTGCCGATAAACTTGAAATTAAGATTATTTTTGTGCAAATATCTATAAGGGCGTAGAGCTTTTGAGAGGAGTTTGTGCTCTATCATGTATTTCGATTCAGGCGGCGATATAGGAATGTCAGTCTTTGTTATATTTCAATGCATTAAATGTATTAACTCCGATGGGCAATTCTTGTGTAGGGTGCCAGGAATGAAATATTTGCTTTACAACCAGCTCCTATTCAAGTCTCCTACATGGGATTCCCGGGAACAACTGGTGCAGACTACATCGACTACTTGGTTACAGATGAAGTATGAACCATGGAAAATAGGCCGTGACGGATGTTGTTAGCTATGTGTTGTGCATAAGAATTCCCCTTGAAACGTGGATATTTCAGTATCTAGCTTTATGGATCTAATAAGTTGGCCCTTTTCTCGTCTTACCAGCTCGTTTCACCCTCAAAGTACGCACACATATACTCTGAGAAGCTTGTCCACCTGCCGCACTGCTACTTTGTTAATGACTACAAGCAGGTGTGACTCTTATGTACACGCGAGGTTTTGTACATGCACTACGAATTAGGTGTAGAGACGGAATTTGTTGTTGCTCACTTGCAGTTTAGTAAGGGAACTTCTTGTTGTTGAGAGTTTTTGTTGATTGCAGAAAAATCGGGATGTTTTGGACCCCAGTATTCAACTGAAGCGATCAGATTATAACCTACCGGAAGATAAATTTCTGTTTGCCTGTTTCAACCAACTGTATAAGATGGACCCAGAGATTTTTACCACATGGTATGGCTTCTCTTTTAATAAAAGCCAGTGTTATGTGCCCTCCCAGTTCTCAGCTAGGTTTCCGTGAAGAGTACTTAAGTTTTGTCTTGATATGCTTCAGAGTACCGTACACTTCTTGGAGATTCTAATTTGCCGTCCAAGAGTTTGTTATTTATATTATTGACGTGGCGTGAAGATGCAATGATTATTCATGGTACGTTTTGAATGGTGAGCTTTTACAGGTGTAATATCTTAAAACGAGTACCCAACAGTGCTATCTGGCTTCTTCGCTTTCCAGCTGCTGGTGAAAACCGACTTCGCGCATGTGAGTAAAGCGCAGTATTTGGACTCAAATATCAAACTTCTCCCAGTTTCTGTGTTGTGCCCTACATTGAGTACAATCTACGTATATTTATCATATAAAGTATAATGAATGTTAACACTTGTGTTACTTCCCTCGGTTGCACTTAGAATATTGCTTCAGATGGACAAGGATGAGGAGTAACTTTTTCTGATGATTAAAAGTGTAAGGACTTGGGATGGAAGCATAGTCCGCAAATTAGAGATGGAATTACCGTCTCTGCGAAACCTATTTCAAGGTGGAAATCTTGCAAGAAAAGAAAGCTTGGACTAAAAAAGTTATCATAGCCTGAACACAGAGGAGATGACCAATATCTGTCTTGCATTTTACAGTTGCTGCAGCACAGGGCGTAAGACCAGAGCAAATCATCTTTACCGACGTAGCTGCCAAAAATGAACACATCCGCCGGAGTGAATTGGCAGACCTTTTCCTTGACACGTAAGATTCCCCTTCAGATACATGAGACATTTGAGAAGTCTTGAATTTCGTCTCGGTTCGTTTGTGTTGAAAATTTTTTGTTCCAAGTTATCAGTACGCGCAGATCTTTTCTGTTTCTCCGAATTTCAGTTTCTTCTTATTCATTGAAGTCCTTGCCACCAGAGTTACTGTTGTCTTTCTGCTAGCGCTTTTTTTTCATATCTTCTGTTTTTAAGGTTGTATTTTATAACTTGAGGTCTAGATTACCACAATGGTCCTTCGCATATCCATGTTAGGTTCTTCAACCCGTTGGTGCATGCACTGCAATGTGTATGTCAATATTCCTGACTTGTTTGATTAGCAAATTAAATAGCATCGCCATCATCTTAGTATCTGAATATAATAATTTTATATATCAATGTCTTACCTGCGAATGTACGCACTTTATTTATCTCAATTTTCTTACCAGTTAACATTGTGCCTACATCGTTGTTTAATTGATTTTAGTTTCATTCTTGTTAGATTTGCCCATTGTTCTGGTACGGTATATCCTCATATGGTCAGTTCTATTTCAAATTGGAAAATGTTATTATGTCGTCCAGTGCACTCTCAGTGATTGTTCTCGATGTCTTCTTCCCCTCAAGTTTACATGACGGAGCTCTTGTACTACTAAACACGTGCAGCAAGTTGGTTGTATATCACTCATCTGTTGGTGTCCTTCATCTTTGTGCAGTCCACTTTGCAATGCCCATACAACGGGCACAGATGTTCTTTGGGCAGGCCTTCCCATGATAACTCTTCCATTGGAGAAAATGGCCACTCGTGTGGCAATGTCGCTTTGTTATGCGGCTGGTTGTGGTGAAGATATGGTAGTGAGCAGGTATTTGACATTCGATTTCTCGGAATAGTTTTTCAGCTTCAAATTTTGGCCGAACGTTTCTGTCATGTCTAGTTATGCATCTTCATACTTCGAAGGTGTATTGCAGTTGGAAATATATTATCCATCTCAGGTTTGACGATATCCTCTTTTTTCTATTTAGTGTTTTAATGCATTCGATTGGACACCTAGTGGCTTCTCTCTTTTTTGGATAGTCTTAAGATCTTCCTTGCCTTAGTCCTCGCCCATGATGCAGAACAAGCTGTATCTTCAGATGTACTGAACTGTGTTTTTCCTCTGCCTCCAGTATGCATGAGTACGAGGAGAGGGCAGTGCGTTTGGCCGAAAACCCAACTCTTCTAAAGGAGGTTACGAACAAGCTACGAGCGAATCGGCTAACAAGCCCCTTGTTTGATACTGCTCGTTGGGTATGTGATGATCATCTGCATGGCTAATAATGCGATGTTCTAGGCAATTTTTCCTTGTCCTCTTGCTGCAACTTGGAGAAATGAAGCTGACATGGCGATATCTACTTGCTACAGGTGCGGAATTTGGAAAGATCATACTTCAAGATGTGGCATTTGTTCTGCAAGGGCAATCATCCACAACCTTTCAAAGTGTTGGAGGATGATGTGGAGTTTCCGTACGATGGGTAATGGATATGATGGCATGTCTTGCATTTGCAGGCAGATCTTAATTTGTGGGAGATGTAAAAGCCATCTTTTCCACAATGTTGACAAGGTCCTTACTTCACAAACTTATAATGGTAATCTTCGATCTGTCTCCACAAAATGTGAATTCCCATATGATGCACTGTGGCGGTATTTGACTGACCTGGCCCTTGGAATGATATGTGGACATTCAGTGTTGATGGGGGTGCTGGTGGCTTGACTAATTCTTGCCTTCATTGGCATCACAGAGTAGGAAACTTGGCCCCATCCCTCGTAAAGTAAGGGTAAGGATAGTCGGGCTCTCTCATGTGACAAACGAACCATCGGCTGGTACAGTGGTCGTCTGCTCAAGCGTTCTGCAGGTCTGCATTCCCTTCATTAGCACAGCAGACAACGGAGAAGATAGATGGGAACCTTTGGGATTGTTTGTTCCCCATGAGAGGTCTGCATTCAGTGGTTGCGTACCACCAGCCAGGTCCACTTTACCCTCATGGCAAGGGTTACCTTTTTACAGGCTAATACGTTTCTTTAGCTACAATTCGAAATACATTCTTTTCTTAAGCACTCCTCTGAAGCATTCTGCTTCAGAGATAATGTCTTAAAGTTTTCGTTGCCAGCAAGGCAAGTTAGCGTGGAAAGTGAGGCGAGTTGCAAATTCGAACAAAGTAATAAAGAAATTCTCCTTCACAGGTGGATGGATTTCGGCATGTGCATCTTCATCTCCGCTCGCCCCAGGTGTGAAATGTTTCGGACGGATGTGCTGAGTTCTCTCTTCTCCGCAAATGATCTCCACCTGCCTACTGAAGATCGCTGAGACACCTTTTCCACCTACCTTTGTGACCCCTTCGCGTCTCACTCTCCATCTAGTCCCAGTCGAATTCACGCCGACTGTCCAGTGAAATGCACACGAGCTTCAAGAGCTGCTCCAGCCACGGAACTGTGCTCACCTTCTATCACAGCACTCGTGGAAGAGAACAATATTGTTGTGGCTGAACTCTACTTCCGACTTCCTGTGCTTGACCTTGCAGAATTTACCAATATGCCAAGGACATTTGTAAAACACCACCTTTATCAGCACTCAGAGACCGGAATCCTGCAGGTGCCTACCAGTAGTGGATTGAACTAGTGCACACGGTGTTCGGAATCAAAGAAGCAGAGACTGCATCTGAGGAGAGACAGCGGATGCAGACATAAGCGAAAGAAACACGAGGAATCGAAGGAAGCATGAAGCAGCCTGAAGCAGAGCCCGAAGGCTGGATTTACTCCCCGAAAATTTCTCCGTTCGATTTTCGAGTTTCCGATGTAGTTGGACTTCTTTCGACGAGGTCTACATTTCCGTCGTTATGGCGATGGAGTTTGTGAAGCCAGACGCTAAATCGTTCTCACCGCACAACGAGAGAGAGACGCACGACATCAGGCCAGCAGGGTACCCTCGCCAACAGGCTACGCGACTCCAACGATGCGCATCGACAATCTCTGACCCCAAACGTTGGCCAGATCTATCACTTCCGCAGGTCATGCCAAGAAAAGCATGCAAAAATGAATCGATGTGCTTTTTTTTTAATCATCTTGGCGCAGCTATATGTTGAAAAAATATAAGGGGTTAGATACTCCCACCCTTCTGATTTGATTTTCCCACCCTTCACCCCTCCCCCGAGAACTTTCTATGTTTTTCCATGCCTTCCCGACATCTTTTTGATTCCCCCAATTCCTTTTACCGCCACACCATAAACATCACTTCTGGTCCACTTACTACTATGTAGATGTGTATAGTATGTTGTCGCACATCTCTATAATGTCATCACCAAGCGGTTAGATTACGAGAAGGGTGTTAGCATCAACACAATGGTTGTTGGATACATCTAGTTCAATCAAGGATTAGAGCAAGGTTTCCATTGGTATCTGGACATCTAAGCCGTTAGATTTTGTGTTGTCTCTTCAAATGTTATATGTCACGCGCAACGACTTGGTAACCAGAGGATTCATGAACATCATTCCCGGGCCACTTACTACAATGTAGATGTGTGTATAGTATGTTGTCATTCATCTCTATAAAATAATCACCAAGCGGTTCGATTACAAAATGGATGTTAGCATCAACAAAATGGATGTTGGATACATCCAATTCAATCAAGGACGAAAGTAAAGTTTCCATTGGCATTTGGACATCTAAGCAGTTAGATTTTGTGTTACCTCTTCAAATTGTATGTGTCACTAGCAATGACGTGGAAGCTAGAGGATTCAAAAATTATCAACATCAGAATCTGAGCAGACGTAACACCAACGGCAAACAGAATGCGAATGCATATTTTTTCGTCATTGATCATCGTGCTGTGAAATTGATGTACAGCCTCATGAGTCAGTGGCGGATGATTGTGCTCTCTGCATTTCACACGCAACGTCCATCTCCTAACTCTATTACAATGATCTTACATAAGAAAGTTGTAGTCATTCAAGATTGAGATCGAAGGGCCTAGCATGTATACTCTGTTAGATCATGGCGATCGTTGCATGTATCAGATTTGCCGCAGTGGAGCAATAAGACATCCATATTGTAATTGGACCGCTTGGTGATGATGTTATGGAGATGAACGGCAGCATGTTGTACGCACATAGCCTTCAAGACATTGACATCGCCGTAAGTGACCTTGGTAGTGGATTCATGGCGTGGCAGTACAAGGAATTGAGGGAGTCAAAAAAGTGTCGAGGAGGGTGGAAAAAGTAAATGACGAGGTGGAAATATCAACCCTCAATTTATAATCATCCAATTTGAATGCTTTTTGATAACAATAGATTACTTTTTTGAATTGCAAAAATTTTATACCTTTTTTATGGATTAGATGTGTTCTTCAATCAACATGAATTTTCACAACGATAATTAATTTTTATGTTGATTTTGTAACAAATAAAAAATTAAATTCACAAAAAAAAAATTTTTTATACTACAATTATTGATCAAAATCTGATATAATTTTTTTTAAAACATTTATATTAATATTTGGACAAAAATTTTGTTTTTAGAGCAAAATACACACATTGAACATATATATTGGTTTTGCATCTACAAAACTTATTGAGTATTGAATTTTGTATTCCAAGTTTGAAAATCAAGTTGCTAAAGTTGTATGTTATACTTTTCATCACTATGACTTTAGTTCTACATACCCGTTAAATGAAACATAAGCATTTAAAAATAAATATGGAATTCACACAAATTATCACTCACTGAAATAGATGCAACATTTGTTGAGAAATGTATTGATCATGAATATATATTTTTTCTAAGTGAATGAAAAAGAAAAATCATTTCATTTATCAAAAACTCTAAAATTGTAAACTGGATTTATTTACATTCTTTACACAATTTAGTTATCATTGATACACAAATCATGGATGTTTTTATTGACATCATAAAACAAAAATTGGTTTAGTGTAAAAAAAAAATAATGACAAACAAAAATATTTTTAAATATCACAAGAAAAATAATGTTCTTTCTAAATGCAGATCACAATTTTTTAATTTATCTTTTAGCATTTTGGCTGCATTGATCACTCTTAACTTCATTTTTATTTTTTGATTTTGTGATTATAGATATTCATATCCTTGTTTTGTTATATATGCATACACTGAAAATAGATGAAGGTTTAAAGACAAATTATTTCAGTTTTAAGTTTAAAGGTAGGTTATGTAAATTTTAGGATTCAACATTAATTTTCATTGTCTTTTAAATGAGATTTAATATTTATTTGATGTTTGATAGGCTATATATTTACTTTTTGTGAATCTCGTTAAATTTAATTGTAGGTTGTGGTATTCTTTTAATGTTTTCGCAGTTCTCAGAGGTGCAAGTTTTTGTTATCATGTAAAGGTACTTTTCGACTTGCATTTGTAGTTTTGCCATAGTGAGGAGGTTGCGCTTTATATTAATGCATCCGTCCATATCTCCGTTGCTCACATATAATAGTCATTCAACTAAATATGCAACCAGTTTTCACATGACCAGATTTATTTGTAGGGTTCAAATTAATTATGCATTGGAAATGCAATGTTTGAAATGTCGTGTGAAAGAACATAATTTATAAGAATAGAGTGATTCAATATGCATTATAGTCTTCTGATGTTATTATATATCGATACTTCTTTCGAGAAGGCTAATATACGACTATAGATTGTCATTATGACAAAAACTTAAAGTGCCCAACATTCATCATATTAAAATGGACGACAAGTGCAACGGTAGCAGCAAAAGTTCCGAGTATGAAGCTGATGTTTAGAGTCATAATGATTGTGACATGTTCTTGTAAGAAATATATATAAAATCATATATGGATAGCGGTATCACATTCTTTTGTGAGTTTTATAAAACATGTTTTCATTCCTTTAGGAAAAGCAATAAAAGTGCTCATACATAAGAAAGAAAATAGTTGATCGTTAGCTCGACGACTCCTTAGAATTTATTAACATTTGGCTCCTTTACCTCGAGACAATAATAGACTTCGAATGCACTTTGGAAAGCTCAAAAGATGAGGAGGTCAAGATTTGGAAGGAGGGAAAGAACCCCACTAAGATATATCCACAAGCGGTCGAAAGAAGACAGAAAAGGCGGTGGAATGCAGGAGATGAAACCTGCCTTCGGATCCGCTCGTCTTCGTTACCGCCAAAACTCCAAAAAGACCGAAGCAGCGAAGTGAAAACATATTTGGCCATAAGGGAGATAGTCCAAAAATTCAAAACTTTATTTGGTAAGATGCCCGTTGGGTTGCGGATAAAGGATTTGTCATGTTCGGCCAGAGAATCCGGTAGGCGGGGAATGTAGATATCCACTTATTCCGGTCTGTAAGCCAGTCACCTACCGGTTGTCTTCGACGAGCCTTAGGGTTGGCTGTTCTCACCTTATCTGGTCCTCTCACTGAAACTCGGAAGCACCGTATGCGAGGTTGACGTGGTTAGTGATTAACCGAGTTAGTTAGTGAACTATCACCATGGGCTCTCGTTTCCGAGACGCCCGATCGATGCTAACCTTGGATGCTAATCATCGCACGGACATGAGTTTAGGTACCGGCCCATGGTCAAGAAAATCCGTACAGCGAACGGGCAAATGAGTCAATCAGAAGGGCGGAGTGATGGGAAACGCTACAGGCCGTCGATCGGCATCCAGGGATGAAAAAGATCGTGCCATATGGCACGGCCATGGCCGGCTTTCCCTCCCTTTTTTTCCGCCTTCCTTTCCCGTCACGGGTGGCGTGACCTCGTCGTTGCCTTCTGCTGCCCGCTGCCTGCCCGCCGTGAATTTTTGCATGCACCAAGTCAGGCGGGCAGACCCCGAACCCGCATCCGGGTTTCGGGTCTGCCCGCCTCCATGCCAACATAAATCCTTCATATTTTCCATTCCATCGCTATTAAGAGTAGTCACTTCTGCCCGCTTAGCTCCATTCCTTTATTATCCGGTTTCATTCTGGTCGCTCTTGTCGTATTAGGTAGAATCGTCCCCGCTTGCCGGTTGACCTGCGCCATCGGAAATCGAAACCGGTCACCATCCGGTCGGGGCTCAGTTTGTGCATAGAAAATGCAATGCTTTAATTGCCGTGACTTTCGTGTATAGTGTACTTCGTCTATCCCCAGTCCCAGTCGGCACTGCCGGCATTCACCTGCAAATGCCGGTTGGTACGAAGCAGGTCGCTGACAATGGAAGTTTGCACGTCTTCTCGGGTCGTCGTGTTCGTCCGCTGCCCGTGGCCTCTGCCCATCGTCGTCACAAGAACCGAAGGAAACCGATCCGCTACCCCTCGCCTCGCTGCCGGTTGGTCCGATCCGCGCCCGCGTCGTCGAGCGGTGGATTCTGCCGGCCAGAGAGAGAAAGACAGGTCTGGAGGGAAGGTCTGACGGACTGACGGAGTGGCAGAAGGACTGACGGATTGGCAGACGAAGATCATGCGTAGAGCAAAAGGGGGCATCCGGTTGGGAAGGACGGCAAGGAGAGGAGGCCAGCGTGGCAGCTCCCGGTGGAAGGAAGGTGACGAGGCGGTGACACACAGTTCCGACCAGCGCTGGCGAGGTGGAGGCCGAGGCGGCGCGAGGAAAGGCGACCGGGACCGCGAACGCGAACGCCACTCGACCAGCGTGGACTTTGTTGAGAGGCTCGCGCGCTCGACGTGGGACCTGCACATTTGCTCCGACTCCAGAAGCGCCCGCCCGCTCGCCCGCCCGGCCGGAGTGGGGACCGTCGAGTGCAGTCGACTCGATGCGCTGCGAGTCGTCGTGCTCTGGTTTCGGGCAGCCAGCAGGTGCCGTGCCGTCAATTGGCAAGAATTTTCGACATGTACGATACTGCGTAGAGCGCGAGGTGAGGTTTGGGTTGGGTTGGGTTGGGTTCGGGCGGGCCGGTCGGGTCGGGGTGGGGTGCGGGTCGACGCGGGGGAGTGAGCACTCGTCCGCCTCGGGAGATTGTTGGTGGGGGAGTGGGGAGGATGCAGAAGGACAATTGAGCCGTGGCGCGAGAAGGGAAGAGGAGGACGAGGGAGGAGGAGGAGGAGGGATCCGAGAGTGTGTGTGGGCGCCTTGGGCTAGCCTCGCTCGCCTCTTTCTTTCCTTTTGGGATTATGACGATCAGAGCGCGACGCAATTCGAGGCGGGCATCGGGAGTGGGCAAGGCACAACAGTTGTGAAAGCCGGTTCGCCTTTTTTATCTTCCCCACCTGCTCGGTGGTGGTGCGATGACACTACTTCTCCCGGATGAGAGAATCTCCCTGCGCTGATTTGGTGTTTAATTCGCGCACTCAAGCGGCTGTTTATAGGCGTCGCTAATTTACAGCATCCTTGAAGGCCTCGACGACCATCCCTCGGACAGCAGACGTTGCAGCGAAGGAAAGGAAGGGGAAGTGAGTGGAGGGGAAGGGAGGGGAGGGCCTCGCACACGGCAGAGCAGGAAAGGGTCGGGGTCTAGTCTGCGGGACTTGCAGGACGACGCCACAGATTGTTCCCTCGTGACTATCTTGTTTGCTTCTGCTCCGCTCTCCGGCCACTGGGCTCTGCGGAGAGCTTTTCGACGCCCGTCGACGAATCGGGCCTCCTAGTTAGGTAGCGTAGGATGGGAAGCGCGAGATAGAGCAATTCAAACTGTCATGTCACTTGAAAGCGGGTTTCTTTGCGGGTCATGAGGAGCTCTGGGTCAAGGCGGTGAAATGACGAGAGAAGAGAAGAATCTGTGGAATTGCCACCATGGAAGAACAGTATGCTGAATATGGACAGCTGGATAATGACGTGAGTCCTTAAGGTGCCGGGAACTCTTACGGAAATTCGATCGTTGTTTCTGTTCAAGTGGAAACAATACCATCTGTTGATCAAGAAGAGAGTAGTGCAGTTCCGGAGACGACAGGACAGAGATACTCACAGATTAGGCCGCGTTATGGGGGGGATGTGCTGCTGTCCAGGCCGAGAGGATTTTGAGGACATAACTTCATATCCCAATGGGAGCTTGTATCAGAACTGCTATTGCCTTCGCTGCTGCGTACGATGGTGTTTACGCATGGTACGTTCCGTAGCTCCCCCCTTTCCCTCGTACTCTCAATTGCTGCGAGGTCTGCGGGGCGCAGGCTTTAGGTTGAATGGTCCGGTTACATCCTTGGGAAGGACTCAGAAATCGACGTGTTTCCTTCTGGGGATGTTGCGCGGATGCAATTGGCTGCAGGCTAACTCTCCGAGATACTCAACGAAGACCGCTCGCTCGGTCTCCGTTGAGTTTGTGGACAATGAAGATTCGTTGCTTCCTGATATTTCGTATCTGCTAGGCTGTTCGTAGTGGTGATGATCAGGGCAAGGGCACTCCACCATCACAATCATGGAATCTGCTTCTGCTCGTATATCGCGAGATCTCGCTCTGTTAATGAATGGAGTTAGCATCCGTTAGGGTCGACACAACGCTTGATCAAGTTCCGACCAACATAGTTGTAATTATGATGCTATGCACTTTCTGCTTATTGGCCTAGGTAATCGAATCAGTTCCGACAATTGACGACAGTTTGTTTATGCCATAAGTCGTGCACGTAATTGTCCTGTCTTTACTAGTTGTAACTGTGCCGGCCGACGTTGTTGATTATGGATGGATGCAGTCGCCTCGGAATTGGCTTTGAAGGAAAAAATCGAGTTTCTTCCAATCAGCCCCACCTTCTTTGAACTGAAATTGAAATTGAAACGCCCTAGGGCAAGTATGCCTTCATTCTCCGCACTTGCCCAAACTTTAATATGTGCTGCATCTCTAACCGGACATAGTTGTGAGTTGGGTGTGGTTTGCACGACAACTGGGCAGGTGTGGTTGTAGCCTGAACTTTTGGTCCTGATCTTGTGTGCTTCAGTGGTGGGTTACTTGACATGTGCATTTGTTTGATGTCATGTTTGCAGTACGCTTCATGGTTTGATCCTGGTGAAGGACGGGACACGTCACCTGCAATACAAGGAGTTCCGACTTCTCCAGCAGCAGGGCTCTTAGGTACAACATCCTTAGATTCTTCCCTTCCTGATACATTTCGGGCTCCTCCAAGACCTATACCCTATGACGTAGACCCCAGATACCTTCGCACACCTCGTGATGGTTTGGTTTCAAGGCGTGACAAGAGTGGTATGAGTCATTTGCATGGTGTAGAAGCTGAACATTTGCGAAGGAGCAATAATGGTGACGGAGGGGGCGAAGCGCTTACTCAGTTCCTGGGACGCGGAGGGCAAGGTGAATTTGATGAGCTGCCGCAGACATTTAGACCTGAATCTCCGGGGAAGCGCCAACCTTCAAAAGGAATGGGACGGAATGAGTCTCTGACTAACCTGGATATGGATGATGACGTCTGCCCAACTTGTCTGGACGGTAAAATCTTATTCCTCCTTTCCGATTCGGCTTTTTCTACGTTTCACTCCTTCCAACTTTGATTTTTCTTCAACTGTCTTCCGGGGTGGCTCCGCCGATGAAGTTTAAGACTCAGTTGCTGTAGTGGAGGTCGAGTTAAGAAGCAGATTAGTTGACTCACGTTCGGAACATGTACATTGTGGTACACGAGTAAGGAATGGTGCTTTGAAGTATTCTCGAGAGGTTTTAGTCAGTCCCCATGTAAACATCTTACTACTACTATAGTGCACTCAGTATCCTTTCTTGAGTCTGAGGACTTCTACAAAGAGAGGCGAATTACTGCTTCTGTCACTTTCAGTGACGTTCCAGCTGCTGGGCTGTTCATTGATCCATTTTAGCCTGTGCATGGTGGACAAGAAGGCGTCATACATTCAGTGCTATAGTAGGCCTTTTATATATGTGTTGGATCCTTCTGTTGTGGCCTTAATGACAAGCGGACCTGTAACGTCTTTGTGCTCTGATTTAGCTACACAGCTGTAGAAGGAATTCATGTGAAAAACAAAGGAAAACCTGATTGCATATCTAGTTTTCCCTTCTGAGTCGAGCTCGAAGCTGCTGCACGGCTCTGACGTGCATGTGATACTCGTCATTTTGCTGGGGTCCATTACGAGGTCTATCATGACACGTGATGGCTCACGAAGTTATTTGTTTCCTAACTATGCTGAAATACATATCCCTGTTCTGTAGATATGCTCGACCTTTCATGCCAGCCCTTGTTGTATTCGTGAAAGGTGAAAGCGTAGTTGTTGACAGAGGCTGTGGTCTTACTCTTTCCTCTCTGTTCTCAATAGAAGCAGAGAGGGCCTTTCAATATTGAGTTCACGTATAGTCCATGCAGTATTTCCGTACAGTATTCGTTGTTTTATTTGGTCGATCTCTCTCCGCAGCTGGCAGTTCTCCAATTTCTCTGTTATTTGGATGGTTAGATGTTCCTTCCAACTAGGAGACGCAAGTTACAGTTCCTTCATCTTCGGCCTTCAACTTACGGAAGCTGAATGTACAAGGGATTGCCCGTCATTGCTTAAGACAAATCATTGATACATGTCATTCAGATTGAATACTCAAAAGTTATCATATCTTGTAATGCAGGCTATAATACCGAAAACCCAAAAATTCCCACTGCTTGTGGACACCACTTCCATCTTGGGTGCATTTACGAATGGATGGAACGAAGCAAACGCTGCCCAATGTGCGATAAGGTGAATTTCACCCTGCTCTCTGGAAAATGTAGGGTGTTCTAGGTGACTAGTCGATTGGTACTTGACTTGGAATCCTAGACTCGTGCATTTGTTTCCTTGTCGTTGTCGAGCATCCGGCCGTTTGAATTAAGGGTCAAATTAGAATGTTTGCAGTTCAGACAGACCTGTTTATTTATGTCTGGATTTCATCGACCAACGTGCTTGGGTCTTGAGGTCATGTGTCGCTAAGTACGTCGGTGACATCCCTTGGCTCTATACCCCTGCCATTACTCTACAAGTGAACTTTTAAACGTACCTTCGTTTGTACGTCTGGAAGCAACTTTGTCTTTTCTTAAGTATAGGACAACGTTTGTGCATCGTGTGATGTGAGAGCTATGGATACATGGCTACGTAATACTTGAGTCTGGTTTTTTCTGTGAGGAGCCGAGAGATAGTTTGATGGTGATGAAGTCTGTGGAGTATTGAGAGATGTTTGCTTTGTTCATGACTCAGGAAATGATCTTCAGCGAGAACGTGTAAGGAGACTGGGCTTGTTGGCCTCCTAACGTTTTCATCTCCAGAGTCACCTTTTGAGTTGCTAGCTCAAGATTGACGTGAGATGCGTTGACTACTAATTACTCTGAAGGGTATACTCCAGAACTTATTTGAGTTGGTTAGTTTCCAGCCAGCTAGGGCTTGTGTGATGAGGGAGCAATCTTGTCGAAAAAACTTGTACATAATCTCAAAATGTAAAGTGGGAGGAGCATGACGGTCCAAAACTCCCAAGTCATGTGATCCCCTATTTATGTGGCTTGCAACGGCCAGGGACGTGGCCATCTACGCAAATTTACTCCGAAAATTGATAATCTGTCGCCTTGTGACTCGTTTGTATGGGAAGAAACATAGCCTTCGGTCTATGTTTCTTCTTAGCTGAATTGTCCTCCTTTTGTGTGCCATTTTATGTTTGCGGTCGTCTCTTGGCTGATAAGTTTTTTTTGCCACATGAGCTATTCGTTTTGCAGAAATAACGCTCCTGTAAAACCTGCAGGAACGTCCTGAACGACTGAGCAGGCCCTATCATAACATCTTGAGCCTATGTTTTCAGTCTTATGACATCACCCTTTCTGATCTCGCAACTGCATCGGTGTATCTAAGACGCGGATTTGAGACTCCACTCATCTCTCGGGTCAAGTGTTTGTGCCTTCGTTTTGGGACAAGTTTATTTTAATTCTGAAACCCGGATTCAGAAACCAGGGATTTGGAGCTTCTCTGGGCATTTTTTTTCTATGTTATTATTGATATAAAATGGACCCCCTTGAGCGTCAGATATTCAAGTACTGGAACGAAAGGTGTGTCCGGCAAGGGACTATCGTGGATCTGTCTCCCTTGTCGTAATGCTATTTTTATTTTCTTTGATTGAGTGAGTCGGTTCGGGTTTGCGTGTTTGGTGTTTCGCGTACGGTTTTCCTCTGGATATGCGCAAGGCAAATTTCATCTCTGGGGACCCAGGAGTATTTGCAGTCTTCAGGCCACATCGAGATGGGATCCCTTTTACTCACGAGACGAATTTGCACATTCGTTGGCTCAGCTGTCTGTCTGTACATAAAGTCAATGGGATTTAGGCCAATATCGTCGATTGGGCTACGGGAGAAATAGAGAACTGCCGAACTAAAAGTCTTGTGCTTCGTTTCCCCTCTGTATATCGATAAGCACGAAGTTATCATGGTCGACGAAGAGACGGAAAATCAGATGGACCCCGTTGAAGTACAAAAATATATATCGTCTAGAACCCTCTTCTGAAATTTACTGTAATGCTGGGACGGGGTACGTCCTTGGACTTTGGGAACGTGCGAAACAAAGTAACCCTTTGTTGCGCAGCGCATCAATGTTCTCCCGAAAGATGAATGTGTAATGCTTTCATGTACAAGGAAACACCCGAGTTTGAAGTTACTGCCGCACTATTCCCGTTCCTTAAATACATGCTCTCATACATAATCATACACAAATTTTGTGCAACTAACTGGGTTGTACTGTGTAAGTTTTCAAGATGATAGAATTCCGAACATGATAATCGAACAGGTTACGAATGTCCAATCATTACTAATACATGCATTTTAGAATGTTGGTTTTACTGTCTCATTTGTGTTTGGTTTGACCTAAAAAAGTCATAACACACACTATATTAACCGATGCCAAGTGTATCTGATTAAAATTCACCTGTGTGTGATGATAAAGTAATGGAGGTAATTGATTTAGAATTTTATTTATTGATCGTTAGAAAAACAGAAATGTCTTAAAATATGATTATGATTTTTCGATGGAAAAAACATTGGTTTAACAAATTTATAAACATATACATCATGTACATATTTTCTTTGATGTTTGACAATGTGTGTTATGTAACATTTACATTTTAGTCTACATGTTAATTTAAAACATGTATTAATATATTTGGAAGATATATATATATATATATATATATATATATTACTTTTGTGATCATTTTATTTTTTTTATTTTAATATTTTATACTCACTTGATTTCATCAATAAACTGATGTCTGCGTACCTTGAATCTACTTACTATTTGACTTGTATGAAACTACACATGTTTAAATCTAATAATTGACATGTGCAAGACTTAAGTACTGAAGTGTTTGTTGTCACCATTTCTTAATAGATTGTTTTAAAACTTGTGAATCATTTGAGTTAATAGATTTATGACTAGTTTAAAGCTTTCGAGGATGGAATATGTAGGTAGATAAGAGTCATGCTCATGGATGTTGAATAAAATTATCTTGAATTTTGTATATTTTATAATATTTGAGATGCTAAAAAATGATTCACATATGTAGAATGCATTTTTTAGTGTAAAATAATATATTGATTGACATTTGTATTACTCTTTGACTTTCAATTGTGATTTTCGAGAATCCACCTGTAATCATATAAATGATTATATATATCACATATGCAATATAAGCAACAATTTCATTCATAAAATTTAAGTTTGTTTCAAATGCAAGATTTAATTATGTATGTAATAAGACGATACAATAAGTTGCATAAGGAAAAGTATGACAAGATTCTAATAAATTCAATAATGTCCATCGTATATATTGTCAAAATCTGCATATAGGTATTTCCATGAATCATTATTAGAAATTAATCATTTTTTATAAAGAAATTTTACCTCAATTAATTATAAAAATTTAAAATTGTTGGATTGAATCATAAAAAAATCAAATGAAGTTTTAAATATATTTTTTAATTCTAAAACAAAATCTTTCATATTATAAAATATTGGTTAAATAATGAAAATAATAAATTAATAGAAAATGATATCCATGTCTTATAGAGTGATATCATCTAGTTCATCTTTTTACAAATATGTCAAATCTTGCAACTATAGCTATCTATAAGTACAATCATAATGCTAGAGGACCAAACAAGAAACCTTTGTACTAAGAATAAATGCCGTCACCCCACCGGTTCGACTCTTCAGGTTGATGAATAATCATGATTGTCAAACTGTATGAGTCATACAGTTTGACGCGTATCATCAAATGGAAAACACTAATTTCGTACTCAAGAAACAAGTACTCAACCCTGTATGTCCGCAGCAACCATCATGAATGTGGTCATCGAAACGATATAATTTTCATTCCATGTGGCCACTGAGCTTCGTGAAACACAATCACACCCACGACGAAATGAAAATACATAAATGGATGGAGCAAGCCCAAACCTCATCGTTGTAGCAAGAGTTACTTGCGCTAGCCATAAAAGTTCTAATCCAAAATAAAGCCAACACATAAAAGCAAAAACACAAAGTGGCCATCCTAGTACCAGGATTGGCTTCATATACTAGAAGCGAATGTGCATACCTATGTCGAAAGTGTAATTGATTCCTTGACGTGATCTTGATTTTAGTGTATATACACCTAAGAAATGCCATTGCGTGGGTGTATATACACTAAAATCATTACATTCATTCTTTAAAATATATCCCAGTACTTCGATTAATATATAGTCGAAGAAGAAAAAACCTAGCCCGTTACCGTCGATAAAAATGATAGAAAACAAGATCATTCCGAAAATCTTCAGAATGTCCACTTCATGGCGATTGAGTAATTGATATGATATTCTGAACCTGTTCAGATTTGGTTTGCGCATTGGGAATGGTGAGTAAGAAAGAATGAATGAATGAATGTCACGAAGTAGCACAAGCGTCCAGGAGATCACATCGAACTTATCAACACGCTTGCGCTTTCGTAGAAGCTTTCCCCGTGGCGGACTCTGATTCCTTCGAAGGCCGCAGCAATGACGTCGTCAAGCAGCGCGAAAGCCCGCGAATCACAAGTCATCTTTCTTGCATGCGACAATCTTGGCCCTCTCCATTGTCGCTCTCCATCGTCTTCTGCGGGCCGAGACTCCGAAGTGTGCTCCGGGATCAGCTGTGTCGTACAGCATGCGGAGAATTCAACAGCAGCAGCATCTTCGTCGTCGTCGGAGCAGGTAGTCAGTCAGTCAGTCTGAAGCAGAGGGCATGACGTTGTGGTAGATGAGAGCAGCAGCCAGCGAGCTCTGAGCCGGCTCACAGCCATGTCCAGGGGTTTGGTGGCACCTGGGTTTCTGTTCAGCACATTGCCTTTGGACAAGGTCTCGATCAGAGAAAGGAGGAGGTCCGGATGCCAGGGCCAGAGTATTTGGAACCCCGTGATTCGGCCAAGCGGCCAAACCTTTGCAGGGTCATGGCTGTCGCACCTTGAGCCCGGGTCTCGGTGCGCGGTGGGGTTGCTCTGGAGGAGCAGGAGTTGGCTCACGGGAGTTGGTCTCGAAGGAGCTGCAGTGAGAAGGTAGGAGGCGTGATCTTGTGTTCGTCTGAGTAGGTTTTGAACAATTGCTGATGGTTGTGATGAGGTCCGAGTAGTTGCTTCGTTTTCTTGACGCAGGTCACTGTTTCTAATAGATACGCACATCTGTTTCCTGGGTTGCTAGACATGCACGTCAGTATCCGATTGCTGCTTCAAATTCTTCATCGTCTTCGTTTCCTGGATCATCAGGCGTAGACGAGGTGAAGGATTTTGAAGGCGAGGATGACGATTTTCCTCTGGCTGCCGAGCGACGGAGGGCGCCCAGCATCACCGACAAGTTTGTGGACGCAGAAAACCTTGATTCTGCCAATGGCTGGGGTAGCGAGCAGGAAGTTGTGGAAGCTGATTTTGCCGAAAGGGACCACAGGAGTATTAGTTCGTTCTACACACAGCGAGTGGGGGATATGGGGGAAGGTATCAGCGACAATAGTGATGAGTCCAGTGGAGACTCGTGGGAAAGATTAAGCGATGATGGTGCAGGTGGAGATAGTTCCACTTCCAGCTCTTCGGTGTCTACTCCTGGAGCACCATCTGTCGTCGCGAAGGAACCAGTCTACGAGGTACTTGCCATTTGGACTGCTGCTACAGTTTGATAGTGGTAGAAATGAAAAAATGTTCGAGGTTTGAGTCATGCCTTTCTTCACTCGAAAGTTATTAGTTTTGCATGTTTCTATTTTCAGTCTCTTATATATACCTGTACTGGGGATGGTCTCCCTGCTTGTCTTCAAGGTTCCTCTTCCGCTATATATTCTTGTTGAACGCTAGCCTGTTGAGCTTGTCGGTTTAGGTCGGGATGTTATCGGCATGTGTTTGTCAAATGCTGATATTTATGCCCATGAGAAAGAATCCAGAAGGCTATCTCAATGTGTGCTTCACAATTGGAAGAGTCTTGTATTACGAAGTATCACCTGTTTTCGGATGTGCTCGGGTTACGGTACTGAACTAATTTTGGTCAAGTGATTCTTTCTCTCTTGCTGTCGTCGTATGTACTGCTTGCACACTCAATATACCGCACTATCAGTGTATTCCTCCAACCCCTTCTGTGGCGCTTGATGGGAAGTTTCTTGTTGTCCGATTTTAATTTTCATAGGCATGAAGCATGCATGGAGGTTTGGCCTCTTAAAGCGGAAAGTTCATGCTTGTCGTTGTGTCCTGCAGGTCATTGAGATAAATCGTTTAGGAAAAGCATTGAAGAAGCTTGTCAGTCGAAGGCAGCTCCTCAGGACTAGTGGTAAGGCTTTTCTTTCTTCACTTATTTCAGATCAGTCTGTAGCTTTTGATTTTAGTATTTTAGATTATGTTGGGTACGCACGAGCGCCATGGTTGTATATTCGGGCAACATACATCCATGACGTATCAAATATTCGATTCCAACGGAAATCGCCTCTACTGATATCAGCTCTGTGAACAATGGGTGTCGTTTTGAATTTCTTTTAACCTTGCCAAGCGGGTGTTATGCGAAATAATCTTGGAATTATTTAGCCTACATTAATAGCTGAAACACTTCAGACTTAGTCTTGTGTTCGTACGCACGGAAAGAAAGATACCACTTTGGATGCAGTCTTTCGGAGCATAAAACCTGTAAAGGTGGATGAGCTCTAAAATTATTTTTTGGTCGACACCTGGTAGCTCTGAACAAACCTCATCTTACAAGAAGAGTCTTTACTTTCAAACTACCTTCATCTCTCTCTATACCTCCCCCTTAGTCATCCTACTTCTTCTTACTCATCTGTAACCACTAACATGGCGCAGGGCAGGCCTTGAGACCAGTACAGGCAACTGTGCCGTTAGAATATGTTTGTCCTTATCTTGTCGTACGTATCACGCAAGTGTGTTGATTGTATCATGATGTAAGGGTCTCTGCCTTGAGTCAATAGTTAGCAAAATGATTCAGTTGATCTTACTGAAGATTTCCCTGTGCAGGGCTAAGGCTGCGAGATCTTCGAAGGGTAGACCCGTCGTTGTGGGTCACAAACTCTGCTCCGGCCTTGCTGGTATGCTTTTTGCTTGGCTATGTTTTGTTTAATTTAAAATGAGCCAATGCATGGAATATGAAGTCTGCAAGTCAATTTTAGCGCTAGATGAAGGGAAACCTCCGACCTTGTGGTTCCGGTTGAATTTGGGAGCTCCAGCCAAGTAATCTTTTCAGCCGGATATCTCATTTGTTTTAGCCAGTTAATTCGATTCCATTCGAATCAACTGTAATTTCTGTGCCAGTTGTTTTTTTTTTTTTAAAATGACGCACTTCATGGAAAGTAAATTCGGCAGGAAACTTCAGTTGTCACAGCTAGTTAATCCGATTCCGTTGCTGGTAGTTTCTTTGCCTGCCTATTTTATGTTTCAAATAAGTTGTCGCACTGCATAGAATTTGAAGTTTCCAGCGAGATAACTCGACTCCGTTGCTGGTAATTCATTTTCCTGCCTAGTTAATGTTCCTATTTGAATGTCGTTCCAGCTAGTTATCTCCATTCTGGCACTTTATCTGCCTGCCGACTTTAGAGTGTATCTAAAACGACACTCTGCTTGGAAATATGGAGTCCACAGGGAAAACATAACGCTAAAAGGAGGGGTCGAATCTCAGATCTTGTGGTTAACAGCCACACGCTCTAACCAGCTGAGCTAATCCAGCTGTATGTCTCAATGGGTTCAGTCAGTAAAGTCGATTTTGTCGCTGGTAATATATATTGCCTGCCGATTTGATGCTTTTAAGTAAAATGACTTTGAGCTAGCTATAACTCGAGTCCATTACTAGCTCTTCATTTGCATCCGATCTCAATTTGAAACTTAAAATACGCTCTCCATGGAATTTCAAATTCGCAGAGTGAAAAGAACGCTAGAAGGAGGGGTCGAACCTCCGACCTTGTGGTTAACAGCCACACGCTCTAACCAACTGAGCTATTCCAGCTGGATGACCAATTGGTTTCGGGCAGTTAATTTGATTTCATCGCTTGTAATATCTTTGCCTTGCTGAGTTCATGTTGTTTCATGACGGTCTTCATGGAGTTAAATCCGAAGTACGTCGCAATCGTTTTTGTTAGAGAACTCGCTTTCGGTGCCGTTAACTTCTTTGCCTGCCGATTTCATGTTGTAACTCGGGAGAGAACTCGAACTCGATTTTAGGGTGTAACATGGAAGAGAACTCGCTTTCGGTGCCGTTAACTTCTTTGCCTGCCGATTTCATGTTGTAACTCGGGAGAGAACTCGAACTCGATTTTAGGGTGTAACATGGAAGAGAACTCGATTTCGTTGCTGGTCATTCATTTGCCTGCCGATTTTCTGTTGTTACCCAATTGTGGTTCAGCCTGCTAGCTCGAATGCATCTCTGGCACTTGATTCGCCTGCCGATTTTGGATTGTAACTTCACTAAAAACAAAACTCCATGGAATTTTAAGTCCGCAGAGCCAAATATCGCTAGAAGGAGGGGTCGAACCTCCGACCTTATGGTTAACAGCCATACGCTCTAACCAACTGAGCTATTCCAGCTTTACGTCTATGTCGTTGCTGTTAGGCAAATTGAATTCGTCGCTGGTAATATTTTTTGAATCGTTTTATGTTTCAAATGTTCCAGCTAGCTAACACGATACCACTGCTGGTACTGTAGTTGCTTGCCGATCTTATGTCTTAACTACACTAACGCACTGCACAAAATGTAGAGTTCTCACGCTATTTTGTCAACTACTGAAGCTCAGCTTTCACCCAAATACTGTCATTCCTATGTACTCATGTTGTTACATCAGTGCATATATATATATATATATTACATTTTTTGCCTTATAACGTTTGTTCTGGTTTTATTTATGAGATTGGGTCATTCTAGCAACCTTGTATGCGGTGTGGTCTGCTTTGGGTGTAAGTATCGAATCAATAACATCATATTAAGGGGAGAATATCGTTCATTACTGCAGGTTCGTGAGCAGGCAATCTTACTCAACTTAGGCTCACTTAGAGCGATTGCAACAAAAGAAGATGTTCTTATCTTCGATCATCAAAGGTAATCTCTGCTGAAACCCTTCTGACTCCTGTGCTGTGTGTGAATTTGGCGTCTCAAAACTAGTCAAACGTCGGTTAATAGGAACTCTTCTTCCTTCTCTGTAAGGAGAAGACATGCACTGGGAATCCGGCACAGGTGTTTGCAGTCGTTGTCCAGATATCAGTGAGCCTTCCTTCCAGGCAGTAAATGAAAATTAACTCTTCAATCTGCTCAGCCTTCATCATTCGATTCCTATGGAAGAATTATTTACTTGTCCCCTATCCTGGCCTGCATACAGCGTATTCATCGTTGAAAACAGTCCTCTCTCTCCAGAGCTAGCAGTCCTTGTGTGTAGAAGTTTCACATTCTATTAGAGCTAGTAGAGGCTCTTGTTGGATTACTAGAAGTTTCCAACTAGACCCATTTATCAGTAATTTCCTACTTCAAAAAAGTCCCTCTTTGCTCTAAATAGTGCTCTCTGGTTTCTCTTCTACCTCTATACCGTCTTCTCGAAGCACTCACTCTCTTTCTTTTAGCACCTTCCAGACAGGATCTCAAGCTCTATGGCTCTTAGGCTGTGGCAAGTATACACGAGTGAATACTCTTTAATGTCTACCATGATGGCTTATCGCAGTGTGGGCGCTCGTGGATTCATCGAAATCCTAATTCCTCGTTTAGCTGTAGACAAGAATGGCTACGTGCACGAGATGCCTTTTGAGCTGGAGGTATGTGTGAATTATACGTTTCGTATCAACTGCGTTTTTTTTTGCATGGAATGTTCTTTGGACGATTAGCGTGGAGAGTACACTGAAAACTTCCCTTGTATTCGTTATCTTCTCTTCCGGCTGAGTTTCACTGGTTGATTTGGATAGCAGTTATAGTGGTCTGCCCTATTTCCAAACTCTCCACTTCAGCTGTTTGCTTCCAGCCTTTCCTCACCAAGATGCTCTCTTCAACAGGTGATGGAATCAGCACTTATCTCCAGGACTCAAAGACTCGAGAAAGCATTAATGGACGTCGAACCACGAGTATGTCCAACGAAGACGATCTTTCTAGTCCAGATTTATGTCATGATATATGTGATCCGATTTTTCCACGAAGGTGAATGCGTTACTAGTTTGTTCTGACCTGTACATCATGCTTAAGCCATAACCTGACCTGTGCAGGTGATTTCGCTTCTCGAAGTCCTTCCATTTCGCTTGACTGCGGACGTTTTAGAGGAGCTGCGTGTCAGTAAACAAGCACTGGTACATTGTACTACCGGCATCTTTACTCAAATATTTTATGCTCTTTGTGGCATTTATGCCTTTTTGGGTCATGACACATGGCCTCTTCTTCAAATTGGGCTTGATGATGTATAGAAGCAATGTCTTTTGAAAATTGGGGTTTTTGTGAGGACTAATGTGTTAGTTTGTACACACTGGTTCACAATTCTTGTAAAGAAGACTTGTGAGTCGGGTTGGACTTCTTTGCTCTGCCGCAAACGACGGTCCTAGAAATTAAGGGAGGGTTGAAGATGTTATGAAGGTTGGGTTGAAATATTAAATCTTAGGGGAGAGGTGTGGAGATAAAAAAGGTCAGCTTGTTTGAATTAGCAGAAATTTATGAACATGTGAACTTCTAGAAAAATTCTTTACACCGAAATGAAGTCATAGAGTTTAGAGCGCTTCCCTTAAACGTAACGACATTCCTGTCTCAGAGCCTCAGAATACTTGGTTACGTTCCAGTCATGATCCTTACATCGGGCGCGTTTCCGATCACCCCTTATGGATTGTTTATACCTCAACCTGTTTCCTTCACAAACTTCCTCTCCGGTGAATGTTCTTCCAAGCATGGTTGCTAGCTCAACTGATATCATCCTCCGGTTGGTCTCTATGGACACTTCATGATATCTAATCAAATGTGTTATGCTTGTAGGTTTATTGCAAGCTTATGCACCTCTTTCAGACTTTTGTGTGACAGGTGGAAGTCGGGGCGAAGGCTGGTGCATTGAGGGACATGTTGTTGGAGCTTCTCGAGAATCCTCAGGACATCAGACGCATGACGATTATGGGTAGTAGCTGCAGCATGAGAAAAGAAGATGGTGATTTAGAGTGTACCATTCCCCAGGAGAAACAGGTTGCAGAAGGTATTTACAGGATAACAGGAATGCAAGAGTCTAAGATTGCTTCACCATGCATATGCCAGAGACATGGCCACTCCATAGTTCCACTTGGGTTTATGTCTCATAAACCCAGGTACAGAGTTTCATGTACATCTCCGTAATCAAATCTGGTTCGTGCACTCGCAGATGAAGAAGAGGAGATTGAGATGCTTCTCGAGTACTATCTGCAAAGGTTTGCACCTTTTGGTTTTGTCATGGCTTCACGAAATTTGAGCAATTCATATATGGAAATTCTGAAAGTGAAGCTTAACGAATTCCCAGCGAAAGAAAGTAGAAGTTGGATTTTGGACTAGGAATGCTTCACGTGGTCCTGGCCAAGAAGTTTGTATGTTCGCTGAGCTGCCAATTCTTCATTCCTTGTGAATTCTAGATTCATACACACAAGTGTATGAATCCATTCTCTCGAATTGTTTTAGTGTGCATAACAGAGTGCTTTGACAATAGAGGTGGTTAAAGTGTGAATTTGGGTGTGAGGATTGAATAATGTGACGAAAGTTTTACTAAACTGCAGCTAGGTTAGTAACTTTTCACCAGTTCCAGGGCCAGGGCTGTTTTTGCGCTCGTCCATCTGGCCTTTCATGTTCTTAGCACTTCAATGTTTGTTTCTGGTTCATAGGTGCGAGTCTTGCCATGGTCAAGCTGAGAAATTGCTGTCTTCCGCAAAAGAGATGGAGGACTCAATAGCAGTAAATTTGAGGTGAGTTTAAGGGATTATGACCGGACTTTCTTGTTCTCTTACCAATGGACTATCAAGTGGTCTGAAGGCTTAAGTTCAGCTGAAATCATGTCTATTCCATTTCATTAGAATCTCCGAAACGTACTAAGAAATATTCTCGAACATTTCATCAGTTCGAGGAGGCTTGAAGTGAGCCGCCTGGAGCTTCTTCTACAAGTTGGTACCTTCTGCGCAGCTTTGGGAGCTCTTGTCGCAGGTAACAAGAGGGCAACATATTGCTCGTTTCTTCTTGATGTTGTGTAGGGACTATTAGGACTCATCCTCTAGAGTAAGATATAACTATCTCACCTACGTTTATACACTTTGCGAAGTGCTTGTTTATCAATTACTATCAGCTTTCTCAGTCCGAACATAAGAACACGTGGGAAATTACTGGTGCTCTCTTCGTTTTCTTCTCTTTGTGTCTTTGTGGGATAGTGTTCCTTTTGAGACTCATAAATGAACTGATTTTATGTTCGATGTAAGCCATTGTTCGATTCTCCTGTCCTATATTGGATTTCCCAGTGGGACTCACGAACAGAGGTGGTAAGAGAGAAAGATACCAAAGAAAAACGTCAATTGTAGAAAATGTACTTCATTTTTTCGGTCAGTCAAAGCAGCAAACAACAAGCCAACTTGAAATAGGGGTGTTAATGCTGGTGATAAGTTGTACCCCCGGCAGATGTTTAGAACTGTGCGGCAGTGTTGTCAACGATGGTGGGTCTTTGTGATGCCAAAATCCTTGGCTGCTACCAGGTTGTCCTTCCATGTTTATAGTTATAGATCAATGAGAGCTATCATGCTGAAGTACTGGTATAATTAGATACCACTACTCAATGTGGAAGCAACGAAAGCATCCTTGATTGCATTAGGCGATGCTTTCATTTTCATTTTCAATTTTTCTTTTTCTCGAACATGATACGTAGTTTTGTTAGAACCTCTTGAACCTCCTCTTCATCTCAAGATGATTCGCGTGGTGCACTTATGACTGGAAATCAGCTCTCGCCTGGAGTATACTTCAACCTCGAGATTGAGGTTGACCGAGTCTTTCATGCTTTAACAAAGTGTCTCAGCTGTCTTGCTTGCTCGAAAGGAACTTAGAACAAACCTAAAATGTCCGTAATGTGTTCAGAATCATGTATTTAAGCAGATGCGAATAACGTGAGTTTACTCGCACCGGCGTTAACATATTATTGTGTAGACCTGAGAAGACTCAACTCATTTGGGGCTGTACGTAGTTTCATTTGAGTGAGCTAAACGATGGTATTGAATGACTTTGCCAGCGGCCTATCTTTTTGGAATCTTTTGTGAGCACATCTCAGTAGTCCTCTCCCAGACCTCTTCTCTTAGTTGTGATAATTGAACGTTAGTCCACACTTCGTTATCATGATTGCAGACAGCACCATGATTCGAAGCTTTACGGTTGCGCTTACTTGACCTAGTATTGTTAGATCTGTACAGTTGTGTGCAACAAAGGCACTATTGCTAACCCTCGGACCAGAGTCATGCCTCAACTCGTCTGACGCTTGTGTCTGAAACTTCTGCTGCTGCAGGAATCTTTGGGATGAATTTGAAGTCTTACCTCGAAGAAAGAGCGGTATGGGTCACTAATGGTTCTTTTGTAACTTTTATTCTGCCAATGTTTTCATTGTCGTAGACCTAGGCGTCTCTTGATGAAATGCGTGCTATCAAACTTGTGGGTTCCGTACATGTTGGATTTGTCATATCAACTACTGCCTGAGTGCTTTTCGTGAACACTTCCTCAGTCATAGATAAACCAGCTGTCGATCTACATTATGAGCGGTCGAAGTAGAAGTAAGCCACTAGTACCAAGCAGTAGGTGTATTGGAGCAGACACGTAAAAATCCTCGGAGGTTCACGCCAGTACTAGGATGTGGTCAGTAGATTTTCGATCACTCTAAAGCGGAGTCTGATACTAGAATAGAGTTTACATGAAGCTTAGTCCCTCATTCCAGATTGCTTTCTTAGAATTCACGTTGGTATCAGGTTGTACAGTCATCAGGTATCCTCTAGAAAAATTGAGCTATGACCAAGCCTTGATAAGCTTCCCCTGATGAGGATCAGTGTTTTTGGGCGTGTGCAGATGGCATTTTGGATCACTACCGCGGGTATCATTCTTGGTGGCACATTCCTGTACATCTACATTGTGTCATACTTAAAAAATAGGAAAATCTTGTAATTGATCATCGATATGAAATCCTAGCATTAAAGATACGAGAGTTTACTCTTGGTTGATTTCTGTTCTGGTCTGCTTGATTCTTAATGTATCGATGTTCCAATCGAACATAGGTCTCAGTGTGGAAACTGTGTAGTCTGTGCATGATGAAAATGTATACTATTCGCTTTCAGTTAATATGAATCATTGAATTTCAATTTACACTTTTCGGTACCGCCGATTTGGATATTCTGCATGTGAGAACAGTGGATACAATTCCTTGTCCCCATTCCTGCCTCCATGAGTCGCGTTTGTAGAGACCTGATGGCCCTAGCCGCGTTTTCTCGCCCTCAGCGCCTGAAACTGCGGTTAGTCTCACTTTCAGCATTACACGGACGAGGACTACTTTTCATTGGTGACGTACTCTCATCTGAGCAAGAGACGGAATGAGTTGTGACAGTCGCAGTGTTGTACGTTTTGAACGCTAGCTGGCGAAGTGTCTACAACCGACAGGATCGCCGTAAAAGATCACTGGTGGCCTAAATCCGAGGTACACATATGTCTGGATCAAAAGAATTGGGATTCCATATTCAAAGGGATCTGGAAGGTCTCATGATCTCTCCGGTCGTGGCTTGGTCGAAGGCGGCCACCACACGCCAAGCAGCTCACGACCGTCAAAATCAGAATACTCTGAACCGCATCTTTGACTCTCGAAATGCAGCTCAACATGTCCCATATTCGCCTTTCCCAGGGTCCAGGCGTCATGGCACGGGCACCCCCTTTTACCAAGGACAAGCAGTTTGCTAATGCTCTTTGAAATGAAATTGAGTTTGTCACACATGTCGCAATATTGGCAAAAGGGTGGAATTGGAAATTTGTGCCGTGACTCAGCGTATCGACACCTTTGATGCGCAAAAAATCAAAAGATCCTGTGAGGAAGGGCGGGATATGATGCGGATCCACTGGCGCACCTCAACAGTCCAACTGTATAAAGGTTAGGATGGAAAGAAAGATCCGCATGGGAGCCGAAGAGAAAGAACCCGAGAAGGGACCTTTTGGTCGTCCAAAAGGTGTCAAATGTTTGCCCTTAAAGCCGCCCGTCGATCGGGTACCAGAGGCCTCAAAGCCCGTACCGTCACACATTGTACAGATTAGCACCATTTTGTGCACCATCAATATTGTCGTCATGTTCTGCTCACCAGTGAAGACCATAAGACCACGCATCACTCGAATGCAGAAATCCACTCAGATTTCTGGAATATCAACAAAGGTCGTCATTGAATGCTTCTGTTCGAGACTTCTTCGAAAGCTGTGCCAGTGCCGCTACGGCATATTAAAATGGTCTCCAAGAGTTCAAGCTCTCCATGTGACCTCTACCCCAACCCTAGGGAGGTGCCACGCGCTCTTTCAATTCTCTCTGGGGTCTACAACTTTCTCACCTAATCTACACAACGCCAGAAGACGCTCGACCTTCGTTTTGGACCATCCATCTTCCAATAATCTCCAGAATTCATCCAAAGCAGAACAAAATTCTAGTGGTCTTCGATGAAGAATACGAAGTCAATAACTTGGTGCGAGAGCGTTGCATCAAAATCGTTGCTCTCTGGCCATCTCCAATTGGACGACTCTCAGGGCATGAAGAGTGCAACTGCATCATCTCATCAGCACAAACTGTTCTTCGGCGTCTATCCCGGCTCCAGCTCGAGCTTTCCGATGAGCTTCGCGAATTTGTCTTGGCGTGAACTAATTGCTCTCCCTCCTTGCCTCCGGAATCGTCGTTGTTGTTCCCAATTCTGTGAGTCCTTTCAGAGCTTTCAAAGCTCGCTCTGCCAGAATTCGTCAACATGTCGAGGAAGAAGCAGAGCGGAAAAATTCAACGAGATTTCTAACTTCACGTGACTGAACTCAACTGGTTCCATAATCGACAAATACTTGTCGAAGAGTCATCTCTTTGACATTTCGACTATCTGCTCATCTCTATATCGATATATTATATAATGATTACCAATGAGCTTAATCTCAACTTGTGAAGACTCTCATATTAAGACGGTTGATAATGGTGGAACAGTTCCTCGGCAGGGAGCACTGCATGAGATTATTTAAGCGAATAATAATTTTTTATTAGTTATTTGCCCGGGTTTATTGGTCAATGTTTTCACTGCCGGTATTCTGCAAATATCGGATATATCCTTGTTCACGAGAACTACTAAATTAAAACTAATAGTCTGCTGAGATATCGTATTAGAAGCCACCAATCACTCCTTCAGTCTTTGACATTGTTTCCTCGTGGGTCTAGATATGGCTATTCATTGAAGGATAATTTTCCCTAAGTGACTTTTATGTTCACTAAGACAAATTGTTTTTTACGCTTTGGGGTATAACGTTTGAACTATTTTCATCATCTTCACAGGTGCGTAAAGCCTCTTATTGAATCGAACCAGTAAAAATGAAGTTCTTTATTTGGAAAAGAAATAGGGGATGTGTTAGAAGTGTTTACTCCTAGATGGATGACATAGTTGTATATTTTAATTTGCATGAATACCACCAACTGTAATTGGATCCAGATATGTTTTTTATATGAATGAATTTTCAGATTCTTTGACAGACTGCAGGTCAGAAATGGCTTAGGAATTCCACACAATTCTTTGCCTTTACGAAAGAAGTGCTTTACAGTTCTCGAACATAATTGACTATGTTCCCAGAAAAAAAATTCAAATCAAGAAACGGTAATCTGGCTTATTATTCTAGCACTCTTTAATGTTAAACGTATATTCACGTAAATTTATGTTCATACATTGTCTGCATTCCAATTTTGAAGGCGTTCAATCAAATGTAATGAATTTCTAGATAAATCCGCCTTTTAGTGAAAATTTTTATTTATCAAGCTCTTAATATTTTATGTTTACGTTTAAAATATTCTTACTATCCTGGTGCCTATACTTTCTAGAGATTTGAGCATTCACAAAACGATAATGATCAATTCAATATTAATACTAAAATCTAGATAGAAATTTTTTTCTAACTTGATAGGTTAATTTTCGACTAACTTTTTGCACCCTTGTGGATTAATTACATACACATAGAGAGACACGTCTAAAGATAATTTTACATTAAAAAAGTAGAAAATATTTTCAAACTCTAAGTTGCTGAAATAATTTGTCTATTTGTTGTTTTAGATCGTGTGGTTACAACGTGTATATCCATCTGAAGAAAAATATAGAACAGCCTTAACTTTCTATAATTTAGAGGTTATAATCTCAAAAATTGATTATGCAATTATGATAATAGAATGGAAGAACATAAGATTGCCATGGTTCTGCAAGTAAATTGAATGTTAGTACACAGTGTTAAAATGAGAGTCCATGACCTCAGCCTATATGTGAAACGAGTATAATTTTCATCTTGCAAAGATAAAATTATATTCATTCTTTCTAAAGGTGTTAAATTTTAAAATACTTTTTCGACGATGAGAATTTAATTTTTTTTGAGACTATGATCAAGTCGAAGTTCATGGCACGTAAAGGCTGCGCATTCCTCCTGCACTTCGATACGTCTGTTGATTGAATATTCTTTGTATAAAAGTCATCAAAGTCATCAAATCAAAGTATACTTTTTAATTGTAATCAATAGACACCAAGTTTTTTTGGTCAGAATTTTACAAAATAAGTAAAAATGATTGATTTCAAAGTACTGCACCTCATAAGAATCACTTTAAGATACAAAATATTAAATTTTGCAGTTCAATATGATTAAAATAAAATAACATATCTCGATTTTATATCAAATCCTAACAGCATCTCACCTAAAGATTTTTGCAATATATTTAAAAAAAATTAAAAAATATTCAGTGTGCAAAATTTTTCTGATTTTAACTTCAAAATAGAAATAATAATTCCTGGACCTTAATTTGTAGGATTTCGCCCCCGATATTTTGGATTTAGATATTTTTCCTTGCTAACAAAACAAGTATATTATGATAGAAATTACAGTGTTTTGATATATATTTCAAATGCATTACCTAAGCATGTAATCTTACTTAAAACTGTTTATGAACCCAAATACTGTTGTGCAATTTCTCGGATTGCTCAAGTCTTCAATATATTTCATAGTGATTCATTCGGGGCAAAATATTGAAACGTCATGACCTTATTTTTTCTTCCTATCAAAGATGAAGTTTATGTACAACTTATTCAATTGATTTAGCCTAATATTATATACATTCACTCCACAGCATTACGTCATTGTTCACTCAATGTATGAAAACTGAAATCAAGACCAAAAAACATAGAACTTTGAGTGACTTGCAAAAGCCCTTTGGATGAAATTATCTTTCATATATATATATATATATATATATATATATATGAGAAAGAGAGAGAGTCACAATTAAACCTTTCATCAAGCTCTTGGCCCTAGTTTGTCCCAAGGGATCATTTGAGCTCTAAACGCTGCGGTGGAAAGACCACGGTCCCGAGTTCCTCACACGCAACCGAATTTTATTTTATTTTATTTTATTTTATTTGCAAGATCGTCTCCGAAAGGAACCCCACGTTGTGCCAAATACGGCTCCCTCTCTCGGTAGGTACGCGGTCACGTATATTGGGTGCGCGTACGTCAAAGCTCGCCCGCCAGGGCTCGACTGCGACCGGGTTCCAGAGTGCCAGAGAAAACGACGGTTCCGACGTTGGACCCGTGACTGCAGAGTTACCATCGTGTCAGGAAAACCAGGCGGTTTGGGGGGCAGGAAAACCAGCGGCGAGACCGCTAGACGCCGGGCGTCCGTGCAGAGGAGGGAGGGAGGGAGGGAGGGAGGAGGCCGTGCAGGGGCTGCAGCAGCCCCTGCCCCTGCCCCTGCGCAGACGAGGATCGCAGTGATCTTTTCCACGGCCGCTAATAATCATTCTCGGCGGCGCGGATTCAATAGACGACCACCCGCGAGCCCCCGTCCGGCGATCATCATTCGCCCTCGCCTCCTCTCCTCTCCTCGCCGCGAGCAACGAACGGCGGCGACCGCGAACAAATGCGACGGGCCTGGCCTGGCATGCCACTCGGAGGGGGGGAGGGCTTGTCACGTGCTGAGTCGCCCAGCCCCCTCCGGAATGCGGCTGCCGCAATCCGGGTCCCGGCCGCCTGCCGCAATCCCAGGGCTTATTAGCCCCTTGGGGCTTCCGGCGGACGACGGGCGAAGCTCTGATGCGCATATGCCATGCACTCGTGC